TTATGAAATAATTAGCGTGTAATCACTGATTACCTTTGAAGTCATCTACCAATAATTTTGATTGATTGGTACTATTAATCATTCTTAGAAATTATTATTTTCAAAAATGACAAATTTATAAATATGTGATAAATACTTTCTACCATTATTAAAGCACCATTTTTTTATTTTAATGCTAATTTTTGAAGAATTTTTTTATATTTATTAATAAATATACAAAAAAAAATTAGCTTTCTAAGTAGAAAAATCTCTTCAATGAGATAAAGCACATGTTTTCAATTGGATTTAAATACGTTAAGTATATTTATTATTGATCTGCTTACCTTACGTAAAATTAAAATAAAATATATTCATTTCAATAACTAGTAAATCTTATTACAACATTTTATTATTGAATTTGCTTGTCATCAGGGCCGTATGTTATTAAATAAAATAATATTTATGGTAATAATATTAATCAAGAATAAGTAAAATAATAATTCTTTTCTAGGTGTGTTATTGAGAGAGGAAACCAGATCATTGGAGTTTAAAGATCACGAACGTGGGGATACTAGCATTTGTTGATGATCATGAAGCTCCAAGGCACCTGATGACATGTTATGAAAGTCTAATATTATACTCAAGCATGCAAAAGCATCGTCAGACCATGGATATTTGTATAAAAAAAACCTAAGGTCCAATTGGGCGTGAACAGACCGTTCCCACACCTTCAGCCTCAAGGCTTTTCGTTCAGTCTCGCTAATCATGCGTTTCTTAGCGTCACTGATGTTTTAATTATGTAAACAGTCACATAATAAGACTTTTAACTTGTGTTTACTAACAAGCATTGGTGAATTGTGTGAATTTTTGCATTGTTTATTTTTTTCTTTACATACTTCAGTATGCTGTCTGAGTAATGCAGACCTAAATTGATAAAACGGTTTTTTAAAAAGAAATTTACATTTTAAGAGTTTAAAATTTATGTAAACTGTTGGAATTATTTTCAAATTTTAAATGCATTGTGGGTCTAGGAAATTTTAGTTGTATTTATATTTGTTAAAAGTGAAATAGTAACAAAAAACAGACTGAATAGTGACAGAAGACAAACAAAATGAAGAAAAATCATTTCATTATTTCTTGACTATTGTTTAACTATCATTTGATCATTGTTTGAATTTTTTTGACTGAAAGAAAATAGAAACATAGCACAGGTAAAAGATAGGCACAACATACTTCATGCTACGTTGGAGGTCTTGAAGTTAGTTTTGAACTTCAATAGTTACCTAATGATTTTTAGGAATATTTGAAGATTTCATTTGGAACTTGAAAAGTTATACTTTATTTTGAATAATAATATGATACTTGGAGGTTTTAAACTGGTTAATTTGAGAGAAAAAAAGACAAATGAAATAGTGAATTTAGCCAGTGAAATTGCAATTCAACATTTATCTCAGAATCACCAAAGCATTTTTGTTGAATTGATTTGAATAAATTTGGCTTAATAATTTTTTTTAATAATATTAATAGATTAGACTACTTATCAATTCTTCAAAAAAATATTTCTCTATTCAAAAGTAAGATTATCATTTATTTATATATTCTAAATGATTGAGAGCCGTATAATCCCATCAAAAATTGACTGAATACAATAAACACCCTCCAAAAAACATCTATCACAACAATATCTGATCAATACATATTGAAAAATCTTTCTATCTGCCGCTGAATGCATTTTAAAAGAATAGAGACGACTCTTGATGTCACTTCATTACAAATAAAAATCAGAATAATACAGTCCGAAAATAAATGATCAATAATCAAGGATCAAAAAAGCAAGCAAATAAAAGCTTAAAAAATTTTATAAAGATGCCGATGGATAAAACTAGTAGGTCGTATTTTTTCACAGGCAGGTCTATTAATATCCAATAAAGATCTTAATCGCTGGATGATAAATTTGGAAAAATCTGTAGAAAGAACCTAATGACGTACTGACCTAGCATGATCCTAGTAAACATTCCTCGCACAGGACCGGGTCTTCGACACTCCTGGATACAGTTATTTACCTGGCATACTTTGGTCCGAATACCAAACGAGCCTACAGAGTCAAAGAGCATGGAGAAGTAGCCACAGATCGGTTGTAATTTTTCGAGCCATTAAATCGTCGCATTTTACCACCGGGAATTTATGTTTGAACTTGAACTAGACAATGAAGATAGCTAGAAAAGATTCATAACATAGCATTGTTTCTTTTTTTTCAATGTTTTCTAAGCCTATTGTTGAAAAAAACCAGCAAACGTACTGGAATACTTTCTCAGGTGGTGCACTGAGAAAAAGATTGCTCGATAGTCAATAAACTTTATTTATAATTAATCATATTATGAATTAATATTATGAAATAATGACTTTAAGATAATAACGAAATATTAACAAAAAATGGTTTATGCAGATAAAAATTGATGGTAAATACAATGAAATATTTATTATGACTGTGGCATAAATTATTTCATCATATTTTTAGAAATTATTACACTTGCTAAGATGAAACTTAATTAGTTTTTATTAAATCGTCATTTTTATAACAGCAAAAAATGTTGGTTGTAAGGCGGTAAGAAGATAGATCTTCAAACACTGTATGAAGCATCCAACAATTTATTGTGATTAAAGTAAGACACGTGTTTATAGTGAGAGAAAAAAATTTTCCTATTAACTTTTTTTCTACTATTTACATCATTTTTAATGTATTATTTAATTGTTTAGAAAATTATAAAAAATTTCTTGAATTCCTTCAAACTCTACAAATAGACAAATATTAATTGCAAATACTGTTTCTGTTTAAATATGAAAAGAATATTATCATGTTTTATCATATTTGATATTAGAATTAGGTTCTATTTGAACGTTATTTATAATGCTAGCATTAATTTAACATAAAGCAATACATCTCTTAGCAACTTTAGTTTTTGTAATTTGATTGACAAATGATTTTTAAAATTTTTTAATCTAATTTCAATTTTTTTCTATAAGATGTTTTACACCCGAAATATTTACTCTGAAAATTCATTTAACATAAAAAAAAAAAGTTAAATTTTATGAGAGTCCTATTTTTATCATTTTAAAATATTTTCATCATTTCTAATAATTTTTTGATTGTTCAAGTATATTATTTAATTAGAAAAAACCATTTTGTACACATGAAAGAAAAATATTGTGAACAAGAAAGATTTTTTTCAATCAACCAAAAATTTAAAAAAATGAGTTTTCTAAGCAACATATAATTAACTAAAATAATAGATTTTATTCGGAATATTTACTGATTTATTTTCAGAGAGCATTTTAAAAATATATTCGTTTTCCATACGGGCATTCGTCTATCAGTGAATAGACCCGTTATGTTGAAAGAAAGAGTTGTAGCAAATTGATAAGAACTAGATTTTGTGATTTATTTTTGCACAAGCGGAAAGATAATGAAGGTTATTGTATCATCATGGGATTATTTAGATGAATAGTTAGTGTCTGGAGGCTTTAAAGTCATCAGGAATAATTTTCGAGAAGCATTTTTCCCGCGCCCGAATTTACCGGTCGCGATTAGCATAAAGATAATCGCACTCTTGACTCGCTAACGGCGTTCAGAGCGACGCTCCCTCTGTTCTCTGTCTTTTATTTTCTTTTCTCTCTTGTGGATCGTACACTCAGGGCCTGAGAAAGAGATGAGTTCAGCCAAGAAACTTATAATACCAGGCCAAGTCTTTGAAATTGCCTCTGTACTCTTTCAGTTATAAGAGAGATTACGAATCTCCAAGATGGTAGAGAGCAAGAAAAGTGCATAAAGTCAAGTAGAATAAAGCAAGATAGTTTCTTTGAAGTATGCGCAAGTGTTGGCCGCGCGTGAACTTGAAACCTCAGGCTTATGCAATTCTTTCTCCCTCGCGGGAGAGTCAAGGTTGAGGTTCTCCGGTCTCTTGCCATTGTTCTATAACTGTTTTACAATCGTTTTAATTAGCTACTTGTGAAAATTCAACACTTTTACCATCCTTTTTTCACACCAATTTACTTTTTTTGGGTCATGTTCAACTCATTTTATGTAATTACACTTTTTATCCATACTCAGCACGTGCTTTAGATGTTTTAGAATTATAGAAAAACTTATTAAGATAATTATTCCGCGTTAAGTAATTGCTCTAAACTCACACCTTATTCCTTCTGATTACTCTCTTTTCTTAAGATTTCTCACAACTCTGATTGAAAAATCAACTGTCGTAATATTGTAAACAATTTTTTTATTTCTGTTTTTCACATTAATTTTCTAAATTAGTTATACTTGAAAACAATTTTTTTTACTTCCTGGTATCAAAGTATTGTCAAAAGCATAAATTACTTAATTTATTTTTCATTCATTCTTTTGTTAAATATGTTGTTTTTCATATTTAAATTTATTAATAATTACAAGTTGATTGACGAATCTGACAGTTATAAAATATTTAATATTCTTCTTTGTATTATCAAAATTATTTCTTCATTTGTATTTAACATAAGTGTTAATCAATGAATCATCTTTTATTAGTTATCAAATTATCTATCAAATACAAAAAAAATTAAGTAACTATCTCATTTTCATTGAAAAAAAAAAATCCTCAAAACATTTTTTATAGTGTATTAAATTTGTAGCTAATAATTATTCTACAAATGATTAAAACCCAATTTCTCAACAATTTTTCAATGAAAAAAAAAATAGACAACAAATTCAAAAAATTATCCTATCTCCTTAATTTTTATAACAACAAAAAAGTTCAAAAGAATGCTATAAAAATGCAAATAGATTTTTTTCTACCATCTTTTAATCCTAAATCACTATTTTTTGATGGCTATTTTTTTTTTAGATCACCTCACGTTTTTTCTAGACCATTCGCATTTTTTGTTAAACTCTAGCTCGCGTGTTTGATAGGTATTTAGATCAGTTGAATAAAATTAAATGTTTTATAACACAAAATGTAATGAGTAAAAAAGGAATAAAACAAACTTACTTGATAAGGATAAAGACCTGGTCTGTAAAAGCTACTTGTAGTTAGAGCTGGATGGCTTTTGCTACTTCCACACATGGAAGCCATTTTTTCCTTTTAATTATTTTTCTTATTTTATCCTTTTTTATCGTGGTCTCTCTTTCACTCTTAATGTAGTCTCTTACTCTGCTTGTTCAGGATACTCTTGTCTTCATTATTTCAATATAAATACGTCTCCCTTTATAACTATACTTTCCAACATCATTTTTTATTCATACTCACAGTCTGTTTAACCACTTCATACTTACAAATAAAATATTACAAAGGATATGAAGAGTCAGAAAGAGAGAAAAAAATGAAATGAAATAAAGCCTCAACAAATTTATATATTAAATTTAAGTCAATGAATTAAGATTTAAGAATAATATTATAATTTTGTTGATACAGCAACTTTAATTTATTCACAGTCTGACATGTGTAGTCTCTTTCCACTTCAAGGTCATCATTAATGTTTATATTCAATTTTTTGTATTTACCAACTTCCTGTAACGAATTATTTATCGCTAATTTCAAGCCCACATTATCATTCTTATTATTTTATCTGTTTAAGATTATTCAATGACTTAAAAGTTGTTGGACCTGGAGATAAATCATTGATTCGTCGATTAAAAAGCACCACAGTTTTGTTAATCATTCAAAAGTATCAAAAAAACAAAATAATGTCACCAAGTTCATTGATCCCACTGTTCACACTAACAAGCTATTAATTAAATTCCCTCACACTAGTTTATAAATTTATCGAATGCAATCTCTCGGTCATTCGCCTCGTGAGATTTCTCACAAGAATAAACTCCGAAGAATGGACCTGATTTTTGTTTTCAGTTCAATTCACACTTTATTTTTTTTTATCAATTTTGAATTGATTGATTGATTTTTTGATGTCTATTGTTGCTTGGAATGTAGTGTTGCACTTTGTTATGAATGGTTGAAATGAGAAGTATATTTGTAACTGGAGTATTCGAAACGAACAGAGCCAGGACGTCTTTCTAGGACGGTTGACCACCGACTGACGACTGGAGATGTTCACCACCATTCTTCATCTTCATTCTTTACTAAGCCGGCAACTCCCCTGCTACACTATCGCCTACCCATTCCACTTTTCTCTCTTCTATACAGTTCTTCCATATCCTACCCAAGTCTCCCAACCATCACAAACCATGTAGACCTACCTGAGAGACATAATGCTCCAAGGAACTCGAAAATCTAGTCCTTTATTATGCATTTATTTATCAGCTATTTATTAGGAAAATTTATTGATATGCATTCTTTTACATCATTTTTAAAGAATATTGATTATGTCATTGTAAGATTCCTTTTCTTTTCTTTTATTTTTCAATTTTTTAAAATGCCTTTGTGATCAATGTGTCAGTCAAGTATTTTTACATAATTATTTATGATTGATTTGTTGATATCGAATCTATTTTTTTTCTTCTAGAAAAAGCTGTCAATTATTTTTCAGGTGTGCTCATAGAACATTAGAATAATTACCTTCTTTCAACCACACATAAATGAAAATGACAGTTTGCCTATTATTTAATAAGTTATTCATCTTTACTTTGTTAAGATAATCTAATTACTGTTTGCTTTTTTATACAACATTTATTCAAAAGTAATTCACAAAATATTGTTATTGTTTTTGTTAGGAAGTTGAATAACAAATTGTCATCTTTCAAATAACTAATAATCAGGTAACATTATCGGTATTATACTCCCGATGAACCATTTTTTTTTGAAATGGTGAATGATATCAATTAGGTGATAACTAAGTGAAGGAAAAGTCTTTTGATATCAAAAACATAATTTTTGATGTATATCACATTTAGCCTTAAATCATTTGTCAGCTAATTTGTAAATAACTTGATAAAACCAATTCTTTTTTTTTTTAATGCAAAAAAATTCGGTCATTGTAATTCAAACAGTGGCATAATTGAAAAAAAAACTCCAATGAAAAAAATAAAAGTGTTAATATAAATTGTGTAATGAAAATGAGTGTTTGATTAATAAACACAGATATAACAATCAATTTATAAAAAATTATAATAATTTAAATAAATATATTGTAATAAAAACGAAATAATAACTCGAGAATGACTCTAAATAATTTATAAGATCATTTATTAATTATGACAATTAAAAGATCGAATAAGACGTTTGGTTGGATTTACTTTCAGCCATATACGAATGTAAACAAACTAATATATTAAAATGGATCAAAAATGCTTATTTCAGTATATATATATATATATATATATAAATATACTAAAATATATAGTATATATATAAGTATATATAGTATATATATATATATATATATATATATATATATATATATATATATATATATATATATATTACTAAGTAACTCTCTTAAAGAAAAAGTTAATGCTTAATAATAACAATAAAGAAACAATGTTATTACTTTATTTCAAGATTCATTATAAATAATTAAAAAATTTTTTAATAATGATATATTTATTATATAAGGCTTCATTAAAATATTAAATTAAGACTGTTTTTATTGGTGCAAATGTCCAAGTACACAGCACAAATATTTCTGACAAGTTTATTACAATATTAAAAAATAAAAGACAAACAAGAGCAGGTTTATTTTGATTAAAAAAGAAAAAAAAAGATATTACAGACTGAAATAACGGTAAAGAAGCGTAATGACCGCGAGAACTCGGTTACAAAATTCCAGTCAGTTCTTCGACGGGTACCAAATTGAAACAACCAAGCGGAAATGGGATTTCGTAAGTCATTGATCGAGATTAGAAGCAGCCGGTGCATTCAGAACCTGTTCTACGACCTCCACAGAACTATATACACCATTAGCTTTAGTTTAATTCATTGTCGAGTACTACTTCTACTTTATTACGAAGGTTTTTAGGTCGGAAATGGTGTGTGTGTGACAACTGACTACACTCTCGTTTTTATTTTACCACTATGGAGTTTAATGAAAACCACAAGGAAGTTTTTTTTTATGCGTTTATTTCTCTTGAGATATAAATTTTTGTTACGCGAACTCAATCACGTAAAACTTCAAGTTCACTTTTGTTGATGATAAAAATTAATTTTTTTTTTCTTTAAGGTTAGAAGATTACTCTCGAGTATTTTCGTGAAATGTCTAGCCTTCGTGGACTGCTTAATTCGTACGAGGACATCAGGGTAATTAGACGTAAGTCTTTGGTGAAAAATTGTTTTGTGCATCTCAAGTAAGCATTTGTAAAAATATTTTTTTCTCCTTTTTTTAAATTAAATATTAATGTTATCATTTTAATTGAGTACCATAAAAAGTTATTATGCAAAAGTATTCACTAATTTTACCAGAAAATATTTCCTTTTGATTTTATTTATTTATCATTCATATATAAATGAAAATTATCAAAATTGCATTAAATTTATTCTCTTTTTATAATCTTTAATGTTTACAATCTTATCTTAGTACCTCACAGGAAGATTTTTCTATTGAACCTAAAACCTTTTTACATTATAATCATATTTATTATTATGATAAGAAATGAAGAAAATTTCTTCCTTTTTAGCAAACATTGTAGAATTAATCTAAATAATCCTTATATAAATCGATAGATAATTTAATGCAGAATAAACAAAAATGGGTACGGGTTTTTTAATTGCTTTAGTTTTTGCAAAATAATTTAATAATTAATATTTATGACCGATACTCGAACTGATCGGACGTTTTCCCTATCATAAAAGATTTTCTATCGATTTAATAAACGTTTTAATTTTTTTATAGTTAATTCCCGAGTTATTTTTTCTTCTTATTTTACCATATTATACATTGTATATTGTACAATGTATATGTATATTGGGTTGGCAAGAAAATAGTGAAACACTTTTAAAATTTAAAAATTGGAGAATGTAGAGTATTATGATGTTATCACAATATCTCTACTCTGGAAGTGGACACAAGTCAATGATGCACATGATGAATGTATTGGAGATTAAAGTTTGTCGGCTATTGAATAAAAATTAAATTAAAATCTATTCTAGGTGTTTCACTGTTTTATTACCAATCTATTATGTATGCATATATACACTAAACTATAGAATACTGTATAAAATTTAAGTAGATTCTGGAACCATTATACAGGTAATGATTTTATAAAAATATCGTGAGAAATATTTTCAAAAACTAGGATCATAAACATTCATCAGTCAACATGACATAAAAAACCGTTATGTTTCCATATACACATGTCAGTCATTATTGCAAATATTACTTGAATAGAATAATATCCAACATAATAAGATAATTCTAAAAATTAATTCCAATGTGAACTCATATTCTTTACTATAACAACAGAGAATTAGCATGATTACTTTTTTATCCTCATTTTCTTAAATTTGCTCGTGTTTTTTACCATATTTTTCCATTTTTTCTTGTCTTTGAAAGGTCAATCGAAGATTTGTGGGAAGTAAGCCTTGCTGTACTTCCCTTAGGCCGTTACCGCAACTAGTCACAATAAAATACACGACAGAATGGTCGGGAGAACAACTCAATCTGATTCATTATCATCATAAATGTTTCTGCACTTCAATTCCATACAATTTATGGCCAATTATTTGAGGAAAAAATTTTTTAAGGACTTTAATCATTCTACAGCAATTATATTCGTTGATTAGTCGGTAAAAATAATTTTAAAAACATATTGAAGCGAGAAATTAGTGCTTTGTTGGAGCTGAATGATTGTTGTGTATATTTACAATACTCTCATTAGGTTGCAGTAATCTATTTCACTAGGAAGAAAAATTATTTGCAGTATTACAGCATCACATATCATCATTAATGTTCTTTTTTGTTCATGGTGCATAAAAATTATTAACTAAGATTGGAAGCAAATAATTTACTATATAAAAATAAATTAGTGGCGATTATTGAAAATCACTGTGAAACAGTAATTATTCACCCATTTTGATATTGCTAAGTGTTGCTCAATATATGATATAAGAGTTATAAGATTGGTGAACAATCTTGACTAATAGCTTCTATTAGGTCCCAAGTGAAAAAATAATTCTGAGTTTAAATGTTTGAAATTTAAGACTGAGCGAAATTTTTTAGGAAAATTTTATAAAAATATTAAGAGTACTTTTCAACATATTTTATTTTTTTATAATTCTTTAATACAAAACTAATTTTAAATTTATTTATTTTTATATTTACCTTTTAAATTATGCTCCAAAGATGATCTTGAGACGTTTCTTCGTAAAAGGTTGAGCAAAATCACATTAATAAATTATGAATAGAGGAGAAGGTAGGAGTATAGGTTATTTTGTATTTTTACTCTGTAAAAATTTACAATAATTATCATCAATTGCCATTTTTCGAAATTTCTGTTCATTGCCAAGAAGTTATTTTTCAATATATTTGTGGGTTAGATGATGGAAGACGTACTGTGCTTTCATAATAAACGAATGAACCATAATTTTACCTTTTCCTCTAATAAATTCATAATAATGGAAAAAAATTATATTTTAAATTGAAATAATATTCTCAGTTTATTGTGTTTTTAATTATAATTTGATAAATGTGTATAGTATATTATAATTTTAGTTTTATATCCACTTGATCCACCAATGATGTGACTAAATCTTTGTTCCAAATAAAATGACTATAAACACTATTGCTCAGAAAAATTCCAGCTTTCAATTCATTTCTGGTATATATCTGAAAACTATGGTTCATTGTATTACATATCATTTTTACCTGAAGATAATGATCATTGTCACTGAAACGTTGTTCTTAGAAAGATGCAAGATTAGTCATGTCATGTATACAGTGTTGGGTCATTTACAGGTCCAATATGTCTTCTTCCTAGGGGTGAAGATAATTTTCTAAATAGGTTTAACTGATAGTTGGGAAAAAGTAAGAGTAGAGTTCTCGATCGATTGATAATTGATTGATGAAAATAATTTAAATATTGAGATAAAATTCAATTGTAGTTCCACCTGATAATGATGATGGTCATCATCATTGTTACTTGATACCAAGTGAAGATAATTTAATAATTAATTAGACTATTGTAATCAATAGATTACGAAAAAGCTGATGAATATTGATGCTAAATTTGATATTTAATGAATCTTCATTAATTTACTTCTAGAGAGCAGAATAAATGATTTATTATAATATTGATAATAATTTGAGCGATAAATAGTTTCAAAAAGACTTTTTAACTCGAAAAAATTTAATTCTCATCATTTAAAGAACTTAAACTCGTTTCTTAAGATGTAATAGGCTTTTTATTGATGTTTCTTATTATTTTTACCCTTTCCCTTTCCATCGTACATGTTTCCTGCACTTCTTCAACGTCTTATGGCAATTCCCGTTGGTATTACTGTGGCATTCGTGTCTCTTTTCTTCACATTCATGACTCGAAAGGACTCTTGATTCTGATCGAGTTTCCATCCTCGTCAAAATGTTGACTTCACTCTCATTTCTCCCCTTATCTTCTTCTTTATTTAACTAAGTTCTAAGCGAACCGACTTATGGAGTGTACGGAGAACTGAATTCCTTGTGACATTCCATTGTTTTTCCCATCATAATGGCCATCCACTTTTGCTCTCGTCGTTCAAACCAGCACATAGTTATCCTCTTTACTCTTCAAATTATTTTCTTCCAACATTTTCAGCTTTTTTAGATTTCATACGACTTTCAGGAGGATTCTTTCATGTCTAAGAATAAGAATATTTTCGTTAATATTTGAATAAAAATTCATTATAATAAATAATTAGGAGTAAATAATCAAAGTTTGTTCATTATTAAATGATTTCTTCTTTTAATTTTTTTATAGAGTGAAATTATATTGTGATAAATTAACAATAATAGCACTCTCTAAAAATGAATGAGTGAAATCACTGTAAAACAATGTATATTTACTAATTTTCTACTAAAATGTCTATTGTAATCATTTTGATAACTATCATCACTATCTAGATAGTTATCACAAGTATCTTAACCCTATGAATAAGTGAAGACTCTACGAATAGTAGCAATATTATCTATTGTTATAGATTAGATAGTTGATCTAAGGAATATTTTTTTCAGTACATCACTATTTGACTTCGTGCTAATACTATCATTGCAAATAATGAATATTCGAAGTGTTGGGTCTGTTTATGATAATAAATAAATTAATAAATAGTACTTTATTAAAAGGAACAAATATAATATTTATTAAATTAAAGAAGTAATTAATAAAGATTTAAATCATATGAAATGATCTTTACCATCACTTAGTATCTATTTTAATTGGTAAAAAAGTTTAAATATCAAAATTGCTACTGGATCTCTATCTATCAAATTTTAGCATAAATTTTTTCCATCATAAAATCATGAAATTTGGTCCTTAACAAATAAGAGTAACAAGAATCCAACATATTCAGTATTATTTTCATTTCATTATACCAAAGATAAATACTAAAGAAATGAGTTCTTGGTGACGTTCCATTCGGAGACAGTTACTGAATACTTAGGCAATACTCTTAAAATACCTGGAGGGTCGTTGGATGATTTTAAACAAGAAAATTTGCCTGGAAGCTTTGAATTGCGTCTGTTCTGATCGCAGAGAGAGGACCTGTATCGCCAGGTTCCAGCATCTCATCTTGATTTATTGCTCGACATTTTTTCTCGAGACTTTTATTACGTTTTAATCCGACGCATATTTAGCAGCTGGAAAGATTGAACGTATACCTCAGGCAAGCAGAGCGAACAGTTTGATCACGATAACCCTTTTTCGAATGCATCGTTCATTCGTACATTTCTTTACCCTCAACCCTTTTTACTTTTTATCTAAACATAATCCTCCATCTTTCATTGATTCAATCAGCATGATTTCTTATAAAAATAATTTATTCATATTTTTCTATAGATTTCTACCTTATTCTCTTATGGATTTATACAGTAAATCAATCATTTAATATCAGAATTTTTTAATTCTCAGACAAACAAGACATTGATCTTCCAAGCTTTTGATCAAACAATAAATTATTTTTGAATTTATTCAATTATCGTAATGGTTATTGCACAATTTATGTATTTATTAATATATTACAAAGAGGAAGAGACAATTTAATAGCTGACCATGAAAATCATAGCTAAAGAATGAAAATAGATATTATTTTTTACTTTAAATTACAAAATAAAAAAAAATTAATGGATTTTTTGTACTTACCTATTCAATTATGATGCTTTAGTATTTTGTTCAGATTTTACGACCGCATAAAATTGACTTTGGAATTCTGTCTTTAACGTATTAAAATGCAAAAAATTTCACAAGTGACAAATCTTATTGAACAAAAAAGTTGTAAATTGATTTAAAAGTAAAAATATTTTTTTTTTAATTTAGGTCATAGACACTTTTATTCCAGTTATAAGGTCTATTTGAAATAAATAGAAAACATAAAATAAATTTTAATATGTTTTATAAAATTATTAATAGTTGAATTATAACTATAAAAAAGTTGAATCAATTATTTATTAATACAGTAATTTTTAATGAATGAATTTCTTATTAATAACTAGCCTTAAAGTCGTCCTACAATGGAGTAAAATACGGGAAAAAATAGAAATAGGTTTAGATTAAAAATACGCATGCGCACAACATGAAATAAAAAATGGATTTGTACGCATGCATATCCCTATTTTAGATTTATTCAGGCCTTTATATTGTCGAAACACTGAAAGAGTAGACTTGGAGATTATACAGGGAAATTATTTTGGCGCATGCGCATAATTTATTTCTGAGCTCGTTCACAACTTAAAATAATTAATTTCTCGTATAAAATAATTTTCTGTATAACAATTTGTAGTGAATAATAACTTAGAATAGCTTGAAATAAAATATAAAAAATATAATAGGCATAATAACTTTAAAAAAAATAATTTCTCGTATAACCTTCAAGTTTACTCTTTCAGTATTTCGACTATAAGGGAAAGGTAGGTAAAGTGGAACGCAAGGGCAAAATGGAACGCTCGAGAAAAAGTACTAATTTATTAAAATAAGTTTATAATGCTTAATTTGTTGATTTAAAATTTTTAGTGGGATTCCACTTTACCCCCTCTTCCCCTTCTATTGGGTGGAATAAAAATTAAAATAGAAACAAGGATAATAATGAAGGATGCGCATACGCACTGATCAATTATGATCTATTATTGTAGTTGTACGCATGCGCAATCCTATTTTAGCCCTACCATTGTTCTTATTCTTATTCTACCCAATCACATAAAAGCCGTAAAATTAATCTTTTAATTATTTAGATCTCTAAAGTTAAATAAATGTTCTATTAATTAATATTATATTTCTCCAACGCTTCAATAATTCTTTGAAACGTTAAATTGTCAATACTAAAAACCATCGGACCTGCATGACGTTTTCTTCTTCGAAAAAGCTCATCATAGTCGTCTGTGGTCATAGGATTTACCTTTGCGTAGTAAAGTGCAGCAAAACCGCTGTATATAAGAAGAGCGGCGGTGGCAAGCTGTCGACAAAACATATTAACGTCCGTTATGCCATTTCATACTCATAAACGAAACTAATTTTTTCTCTTTATCTTTTTGCATTTTTTTAATTTTATATTTTGAAATTTTTATTTTTTTTTATTTCTCACTTTATTGACATTCTTGTGATAATAACCTTGCATATGTATGTCACACATACGTTATTAATTGTTTGAACCGAATGGAGACGTCGTAAAATAAGTATCGAAATAGAAATAAATATAAGCGACTCTAATTTGTGAATTGTGTGCATCTGATGATAACTTGCCTGAAAGACAGCCCAGAATTTGTAGCTTCCTTCATTTATTAAAAAGTCATAATAGCCACCCCAATACTCATTTTTTCCTGCCTCTAAGGCTTTGCTGTCCTCCATTTCGTCAGTTTCCGGCATTTCATCATCATCATGATGATCTTCGTAATTCCCTCTTCTGTATATGTAAGACCTTGGTGACCTGATGATTAAATAATTGAGTGATAAATTATAAGTCTTGTATTAGAAAAAAATATTCTTTTATTTCTCTCAATTAATGCTGTTAAATATTTTGTAAATAATTTTTTTTTTATTAAATAAATACCTCCATAGTAAAGTATGAATAGTAAAAAGTTAAAAATTAAAATTAAAAATAGTTATTTTTAATAATGAACTTTGTCTTCTTACTTGTATGACTCTGTTGTTAAACTAGTCCTCTCTGTCGTGACAACCATCAAATTACTTGCACTTTCATCAGCATTGATATCTTTTAACCATGAAGTAAAGAATATAAAAATAATTAAGCTCATAATAAATGTCATTTTTATTTTTTCTATCAAGTTACATCTATCAAATGATGTTCTTAAGATTCTTTATTCACATGATATTTCTGTGCAAGAAATTCTATGCAGAATAGTCATGCTAGAACAGTTCTTTAGTTACAAAAAAATAACAAAAATTGTGTAAGCTCTTGATGCTTGACAAGTTCGACAACAAATTGAGATCCTAAACTGGTTGAGAATCACCCATGCAGTGAACTGAACGAATTTTCAGTGATCTGTTACGTGTGTAACTGTAATGCAGATAACGTTAAGTCAATTTCAGGATGTGTTAACTATCCTAAATGTTACAGATGCAAACTGTTGATTAAACCTCTGGAAAAGGTAATAACAAATATTTTTTATTAATATATTTGTCATCAGTGCATATTATTTTTAACAATTAAAACTCAATTATCAATAACAATTATTTGATAAAAGTTCAGGAAATAATAATAGAAGATAGTATTTAGCTATAATGATGATTCTTGAATCTTATTTCTTGAACTATTCTGATATTTCTAATCATTCTTTATAAATCTCACGATGATTTAATTTCAATAAATGAACTTTGATCAATAAGATAATCAAGAATAAATAACCTAAATTAAAAAATCTTTGAATATTCCAGCATAAAGGATCAATTTAATTAATCAATGGATTTACATTGGGTAATTTATTGAAAAGAATAAATATTTTTTTTCAAAAAATATTCAATAAATAAATTTAACAATTTTGATAATTAGATAAAAGTTGTATTTGAGAATGATTTTATAAAGGAAATATTTTGATAGCATTGGTGAATCATAGAGGAATGCTGTATATTGAACTACAAAGTTGAATCAGTTTTCTTGAAATTCTGATTTATCAAACATTTATTTTAAATAACATTAAATACATAAAATATAAGATAATTAAAACAGTCTTTTATTAGCAACATAATATTCTGCAATAGATACAATAAGTGAATGGCTATCGTTTTCTTCTTGAATTGGATGACTGTTTACCATTTTCAACAGCAAATTTTTCAATTGCTTCAAGCACTCTTTGAGTTAAATCCCACCATCCTCTATCATTTAAATGTCTACTCCGATCACTAGCAGCTGCTTCTGCTAAGTTAGCTGGGAAATTTATTTTATGTCTTGCAATACTTTTTAAAATCAAAGCTGCAATATAGATAATAAAATAGATGCTAAAATACAGTGGTAGATACCACAATTTTTTGCCAATGTAGTAGTAGGAATAAGGTCGCTTGTTAAGCCTTTGATCATTCATTTCTGGTATCTGAGTAGTTGTCGTGTAATCGTGGTCATAATGATCTGGTGGATGATCGTAGATCAATTCGTGAGGGTAAATGTGATCAGAATCGTGATCATGATTATGTAAATAAGGATCATCAAAATAACTAGAATGATGATAAGATAATTCTGAAAACTGATCCCCAGGTTTCGCTGGATTATTTTTTATGAAACTTGGTAATTTCTCGTCATTTTGATAAGAATCTTCAGGCCCATAAGAAGCTGGAATCTACAAAATAAAAAAATAGACATTTTATTTGTTTCTTTTGTAATGTATACTCATAATACTTAACACAAATTTCATTTAAACATTTTCTTCATCATTTATAATCACTAATAATAATAACAATAGTGTTTATTCATTTATAAATATTTAATTATTTAATAATAATAAAATTTTTAATTACAGTAGATATTTTTTAACGTGCTATAATTATCAATATTAATTACAATAATCAGTGATTATTTTTTTAAGTGCTGCTGAATTCTTCTCTTTCACAATAATCATTATTGAAAGTGGAAAAAAATAATCATTTCTTTTAATGATTAAAATTCTTGAAAAAAATATCTCGATAAAAACTTGCAAATTTATAGCTTCTTTCTTTAATTGATTGCTATTTCAATCGGCCTCTAAACCATTAACATAACCACCTGTGAAAAAGAATCTTCACCAACAGGTGAATAGTCATCAATCGTAATAGATGGTAAGTTTTTATTGGCGTTTTTGGGTGGACTCGATGCTTCCTGAAATCCTGGATATTGGCTATAAAGCTCCTTAGGCAGTGTGCTGTAACTACCGGAAGCTATAGATGAGGATGATGAACCTAAAGATGGAGAGCCTGATGACCCTGAAGATGCAGGGTTTTGACTCAGTCGAAGTTTATTCGAGTGTGCAATAGCATGCTCAAAACTTGCTGGTGGATGAAACCTGTCTTGAGCCTGTTGTGTGTCCATCGTTTTGGCATCCAATTTCGCCACCATTTCTTTATCCAATGTTGAATACCTGCATAAAAAGCAATGAATTTGTTAAATTAATTACATGGTATGCACTAACATTAGCTACAAAGTTTCTGAGGTATTAATTAAGTTCGTAATCTATTCTATATTTTACTTTAAATAATGCAAAAATGCCTTGAGTTGTAATTTTAATATGAATGAGCTCAGTACTTTGATGATTATATTAATAATTAATTGTATGGGTGATAAAATATTAGCATTTCAGAGTAAATTTGAATCATCTTTGATGAAGATTACAGTTGATATTACCTTGATCATTTAGCTGTCAACAATTCATTCAAATATTTTTCAATTCATCTGATAATAAAGCTTTCAAAATATATTTAAAATATTTTCTTTATTATTATCAGTGGATTCATTTATTGTTGATCAATTAATGATGAAACATTTATTAGTATTTCATAATATTATACATCTTTTAATGAAAAAAATTACGATGATTCAATCAAGAGTAATGAATTATCAACTAGTTTTTATTTCGTTACTGAAAATAATCAAGTATTTTACTATGAATGAAGCAAATCTTACTTGGGTACTAAAGGGTATTCAACCACTTCCCCTTTTCCAATTGAAGCTATTTTCGAGTACACTGGTGAAGCTTGAAAATTTCTTCCTTCCCTGCTTTCATCACTAGATGCTCCATTTCGTGATACTTTAGCATACGAAATAATTTCCGGTATTGTCGAAGCATTTGTTGATACCAAAAGACTCAAGATAAAAATTTTATTATAAATATTAATATCGAACAAAAAAATTTGAATTATGTGTCTTATGGGTTTCATATTGACTTTACAAGGACAAATGACCTAACATCAACATTCTTGTGGTCTATATAGACATCTAACTGTGCAGAAATTCCCCTCTACATAAAATATGAATCCTTAAGTAATACAGAACATCTACACAGCTGTTAAGTGCTCGTAATAATTGACAAAATCTCTCTAATATAGTTGGTAAACAGCATGACCGTTATAAGACTCCACGTAATCAGATTCATCTTGAGTTTGTCAAGTCACTTGAATGTCTTTGATGTTTTATTTATTTTTTATTTAATTGCTTTGTTAATTATTAATACTATAAATATATTTTTTTACATGTCAATTAAAGAATAATATTTTTTTTATTAAGATAAGAAATAATTACATCTGTTTAACTTAAATGATAACAGAAGTACTAATTGTTTATTAAACTCCAAATTTCCTATCATTTACAATAAATTTCTTCTAAACAATAGATATTTATAAATAAACTAAATTCACAATAAAAAGATTATCTAATTATTCATTTAGTTTCTATATCTTTTTTTAAATTCTTATAAATATTAACAATCCTTTTCATCATCATAAAACTATTCTTAACATAATAAAATAATGAAATAAATGGAATTAAGACTGTTGTTGGAACAAGTCTATTACAGTAACAGAATATTTATGTTCTGATATCAACTCTAATACAATTGAATTTGTTATAATCAATATTAACAATTAATATTAATTATATTCATAAATTAATAAATTTATCTAAACAAAAAAAACATCAAATAAATCAATCTAATCGGTAAAAGACTTCTTTTCTGAACATAATTATTTTATACTCAATACTGAGGCTCTCGAGTATCACTTATCACATATATATGCACTTGTTTGATTGCATGTCACGTATTCAGTATCCGGAAGTACCAATATCATCTACAACGATGAGAAAATTGTAACATAATAGTCTCATCAACGTTCGCAAGACGTTCCAACAGGTTACTATAAGTATCTTCAAGTTTCGCACACACCAATAAATTTTTATACACGGCTATATATATATATATATTTATATGTATATATAGCACATATAGCTTCCAAAGGAGTGACAAGCTTACGTAGACTAATGACTCTCGTTTACTTCCTGCCTTCTTCTTCAGCTTCTCTTTCTACTGTGACGCTGCATTTGCTAGTTGTTTCATTTTCAAACCTTAGATTCATTACTCCTTCACTATTCCTTGTTTTCTTGCATGAGTCACTCGAATCTCCTGAATTTATATCTGTCCCTTTATCCTTATCCAATCCATTTAAATTTCCTTTACTATTATTCTTTAATTCTTTTTTTAATTCTTCATCTTCTGTTTCTTTATCTGTCTTTTTTTTTAATTCACCCAACTGTCCATCATTTTTGATTTTTTTCTTATTTTTATCTTCCTTTGGTTCCTTCAATTCATTCGTTCCTGTCGATTCTTTCACATCTTTTAATTCTTCATTTAATTTTTTAGATTCATTCTCTAACTCCTTTAACTCTTCTTCCTTCTTTAATATTTTTAATTCAATACCTTTCTTTAATTCTTCTCCAATTTTTTCAGTTCCTGGATACTTATCTGCCTCTAGAGCTTTGAAGTTGGCTTCTGGACCATCTGAATCTTTATTAGAAACTCCATTTTCAATTCTCTTAAGATTGTATTTGTTGTTCTTGATTTTCTTTTCAATTGCGTCAATCGAGGAAGCTTCAATACCATTCATAGTTTTTTTCTTCGGCTCCTTTTTCACAATGTCGTTGCCCTCAACTTGGGGGCGTTTTTTGAGGTAAAGAGCATTGAAGAAAAAGTAAATAATCCCCGTAATGATACTGACTACCGCGAAAATGCGATAAGTATTCCGAGTCCCAATAGCTTTCATGATAAAACCTCCAACCAAGCTTCCTGATCCTTTACCTGTAAATTCAATTAATCATCAAATTTTCACATTTACTTCAATTTAATGCTTTTAATTATTCAATTTATCTTGACATTTAGATACATTCAATAAATTTTTATACTTTATTTAGAATTTACTTGAGTTTTTATAATTGTACTAAATTATACTGTCTTGCTTTATATTTCATTAACGTCGATTGTAAAACATCTAATTGATCATAAAGATCGTAAAGAAACTGATAAATTTAATTGTCAATAAGTACCTTTAAATGTCTTGAATGATTGTAAATAAATCGTAGAATGATCATTATGAAGGGTGGATTAAATTATTGTTAGTTTACTCTGATGTTATTGAGTTATGATTTTAAGTGTAATGATTTATTTCAATAAATAATTTTTTTTTCATATTTATCAATCATTGATAATAGTAAGATAAAAGAAACGTTGGATGAAAGAATAATAGATGAATAACATTTTCTATTGTTGTTAATATTATTAATGCAATCAGAAACAAAAAATCGTGATAGATTAGAAAAGAAGTTGATTAATTCAATACAAAGCATTCCGTAATGAACATTAAAAAATATTTCAAGGCCTATTTAAATTAGAAAAAAAATATAAGTAATGTATTGAATAGGTTTTTGAAACTATTTAAATAAATAATGATAAAAAATGAACTAGCACAATAATTGTGAAGATATAAAAGAAAGAAACAAAAGTGTAGAATAATTACAGGAAATAAAATGAAGACGATTATTACTTGCAAGGGTAGTTAAAAAGAATAATAATATAATTAAATACAAAACCCAAGTGTGTACTTACCAACGCCGTAATACATGCTTCCAAGTAGACCTTGGATAGAACTATCTGTGCTTGTAGTGGACAACTTGGCTGCATACGTAACTGCTGCTGTGAAACTGAGTGAAGTCGTTACAGATTCCAGAGCCTCAAAGATGAGACTATGCCAAGGATTGTAGATAAAAGAATAGCCTAGAATTGATAAAAGCCTTTTAAACTCAGTTTAATCACCCTTTTGAATAATATTTATGGACTAATTCACATTTAAACTCTCATTTAATACAACACTTAACATTTTTATTTATATTTTATTCTACCATTCGAATTATAGAACATAGATATTCTTGGTCACTTTAATTACCTATGAGTCGAACAGCATAAAAAATAAAACCTATGAAAAGGACATTTGGATGACCAATCTTGTTGACAATTGGTCCTGAGAATGCTAGAAGAGGAATTCCTGTAATTCCTCCTACTGTTATTGTTACACCCATGAGGGAATTGGATCCACCAAGATCTTGTAGCAGCCAGAATAAGAAAGATTCCAAGAAGCCCCAAATGGTTCCTAAAGTAATTGTTTTTATTGTTTAGAAGAGTTTTTATCTATGCTTAAAAAAATTGAAACTAACATAAATAATTCAGTTAAATTAGTCCTGATAAAGTCCTTAAATAATAGGTGAATGATCAAATGTCTTATAGACATCAGATTTAATGTCACAGAATATTAATTGATACTACAGACACTAGGATTATGAAATTGGAAATCAAATACTTAGATATTTAATACCTAGCATGAAGCAAGCAAGCATAAGAGCGGCGATTTCTATGTTTTTTAATACATCGATGAAATCCTTGATGACATTGTGGGCTGGTGCCTTGAATTCGAGATTAATTGTTAACATTAGAACTCCAGAAGCAAGCTTAAGAGCTGCGTATAAATAGAATGCAGGTCTACAATGAGAAAATTGGCAATTAACTTGAAATTTGTCTTTGTACATTGAGGTATAGAGAAGGTAGTTGTTGTAGTTTAGTACCTAAAGTCTGAATATTCTTTGCCTTGGCTAGCATAATCAATTAGTAACCCAGACAATGGTGATGAAATCATTCCACCAAGACTTCCATAGATTCTCTGTAAGCCATAGTCTGCTTTTTGTTCTCGCAATATTGCTATTACTGCACCCTCGAACATAGCAAATGCAGTACTACCAATGATTCCTGAAAAATCAAGTTGTTAAAGTTTTTGCTAACTTTATTGTTTAAACTATTCAATTGGTCTTTCAATTAAGTTAACACACTTAGATGAGGATGTCTAAATTATGCGTGGTAATATTTAATATTTCGGTTTTCTTAAGGTTAGAGCTATTTTTTATTTAAATTTCACAACAAAAAAAAGAGATGATTAAAAAGAACATAAATATAATAAAATTATTCAATCAAGGTGTCCAATGTTTTAATTGATGCATCTGATGATTACTATAATTTATTGGCAAAATGGTGATAAAGAGATTCAATGAAGGATCTTTCAACACTAATCTCTAATCATTTGGATTTAATAATAACTGAGTTTATATAAAAATTAAATAATTATTTTGTTTCATGAACGATACATCTGAAATGTTATCTATTTATTTATGACATACCTATGAGAACTCTAATCATCAGATAAAGCCAGAAAGTTAATTGTGGATTGTATTCTATGATTATGTTCTTGTTAGAGCATATGTCGTTTCTTGTAGCAGTGACAATGCATCTTTCGTGGCATCCTTCAATACTCAGAGGTTCCAATTCTGATTCGACTGTGGAATTGCCGATGTAAACAGTTACAGACACCCTTCGAGTTCTACTGTTTGTGTTTTCACATTGAACTAAATTAAATTTTTTTATTACTGACTCTGCATTTAATGACATCACTTCAACATGTAGCTTTTGCTGATTTTCATACAAATCCTCATCACTCAATGGTAATTTTTTCATCTTCACTTTAAATGGCAAGAGGCTGTGCTTCTTTTCTATGTTCTAAATCATTATTAACCATTATAATCAAGTTATTTTAGTATTATATGCTTTTTCTTTCAATGATTACTTGAAACAATTGCAATGAGATTTGATTGAAACATTGTGATAATTTATAAATAAAAATAGAAAATACTTACACGTGATGGAATAAGAAATTCTTGAAATTTACATAGTGTTAGATTATTATATTCATTCTTTCCAGAATCAAATTCTTGACAAGAGAATTGATAAAATTCTTCAGTAGGAAAAAATAAAGTATTTTTAGATAATTGTCGAACTGCTGTATTATAAAATAAATTACTCCGGAAAATTCTTTCTTCAAAAAGTTCTGTTTTCGTCATTTCACGCTGAAATACAAACAACCTCTAATCAAAACTACGAATAATTTTTAATTAAAATAATAATTATTATTATTCATTCACAAATGTCTAGATAAAGAGTTTTATTTATGTTTTAAATATTAATAATTTTTAAAATTTAAGAAAAGAAATGAGCTTGTTAGTAATTCACCTGGCCATAATCTCCCTCAGATCTTTCATATTTAAACGTAAAATTATGATTCACATCTGGATCAAAGAATTCTACTACATAAGTCCTTGAGGAAATAATTGACTTTATGCGTTCTTGATCTTGAAAATTGCTAGGACATGCATATCCACAGCTTCTTATCTTGGCTGTTATTTCATCTTTGAGTTCAGTCTCACAGTAATGTTCCATCTGATTTAGACTGAATATCAGATCACTACTGTTACCAGAATTCCCTAAATCCATAACAAGTTCTTTTGGATATTTGACATTTATCCTCCCTACTGGAACTAGCAGTAAAAGAAGAGCAGCTGCTCCACCAATTGATGAAAAAAATGCTAATATGATCTAGAATTTTTTATAAACAATTTCTTCATCCATTACTCGTTTTCACATTCATCAAATAAAAAATCGTTATCGTTAATTCATAAGAAAAATATTACTAAAATTTTTTAAATATCTTTTTCTAATCAAATTTTTATCAAATATATTATAAAAGTTGTTGGAAGATGTTGATGCAATCTTTGTAATGGAAAAAATTACTATACATAAGAAAGAATTGCCACATTAAGTGTTGATAAATGATGGGAAATGTGTAAAGACTCTAGAGCTAAGTGTTTAAATGACTTCTCATAGAAATTATTTTTGCAGTAGGCATTAAAGAGGGAACTTTAATTGATTAAAAAACTGAATTTAAAATAATGTAAATAATTATGATAGGATTACCTTGAAATTTCCTACTCTATCTGCTACTAATCCTGCTAATGTTGGCATTATTATTGCCACAATCGGCGTTATTGAGCTCATAATTGCTGTTTCTTCAATATTTATGCCAAGTTCACGCTTATGAATTGTTAGGTATGGGTAAAGAACTAAAAGGGCTACAAAATGAATTGAAATTTTAATATGATCAATATTGACAATAGTTGAAAAATTATGGTAATTCTTAATAAATTTATTATTAAATGTCATTATTTCTTTTTGAATCGAAAGTAATTATTTATCAAATTGGACTATCAAAGTATTAATAAATTACTTACTTGAAGCTTTGACAAAAAAAATAACTTTTAAAGGAAGTAATTCCTTTTGACACAAATCCTTGATTATCCTTCTAAAGAAAGTCTTAACCAGCCTCATGTTTATTTTTTTTTTTCTTCTTCACTAATTGAATCAATTGAAACTCTGCTTAAAAAGCACTTTGAATTTAAACAAAACAGTGGTCTACACTTGTTGATAACTTAATAAAAATATAATATCATAATAATGTGCTAAATCATTGTATTTCTTCATCAAGTCTCATAATTAATCGAAGAGTCAACGTAAAATAAGGAAGACAATTTTTGTAAGATTGTTATAAAAAATATTTTTAAAATTTTAAAAGTTTGTGAAGCCTTGAGACGTCTTTTCCGGGGATAATATATTTAATTTTCTTGAATTCTTTATAATTAAAAAAATTGGTTTAATTTTCCTTTTTTTTTTTTTTAAATTATACCCACGTGGAAAATATCAGATCAAAAGGATGTGATAGAGAAGAGTTGCTTAATCTTCACTTCATGACCTTCATCAAACCGGCACTTTTGTATCGTTAGTTGAAATATCTATTACTCTTTATTACATAATTCTTTAGAATCACAAAAAAAACAAATGTCATAGGAGTGCATAAACCAATTCCACCAGTATGAGAAAATAAAAACAAGTTAAAATCCCATCAAAGTGACCGACTTATGGTTTAATAAAATAATTACATTAACTAATCAGCTAATAAATAAATGAATAGAAATTTTTTTGCTATAATTTACAAGTCACGCAGTCTTTTAGTGTCAATAAAGAGCGATGGACTGTCCACTACGGTCGATGTCATACTTTAAACTGCCTCTTACCGATCCACTGAGTTGACGAGGACGGAAGTCAATTTTCTAATAGGCCAATGAGATTTGAGTGCGGTTTTCATCCTTGTTTGTTGATTCTACCCATTGTTCGATTTCTCGTTATACAGCTAATCTGATGGCCATGCAATAACATTGGGAGATGTACGCGTGGACGAAAAAATGTACAATGAATCGGTAATGCTATTCATTCAAGGGCATACCGGAAAAGCTGTTCAATGAAGTCAATGATGAATTTAGGAAGAGATTGAATGAAGTGATTTTTTCAATTAGATTGCCATCAGTTTTTATTATATACTATTTAATAAAATTTTTGTTCATTTTCATTCAAATCAGTTAGAATTATAACTTTTAAATAATGATTGAATATTTATGCTTCATTGGAATTATTCTTGCATTTATATCAAGTTATAATAAAATATTGTCATTTATAAAGTAATTGTATTAAAGATTGTCAGTAAATTAATTTTTTATAACAATTTTTTTTTTAAGATAGCAAAAGTATTAATTTTAATATTAGTATTGCAAAGTTGATGATTCATCTTAATAAATCGATTTGATTATTACTTCACTGTCAACAAATGAATTAACTTGTAATTATTATTTACAGTAAAAAAAATTTAGTTCAAATGATAGATTTTAACTCATGTAAACTCATTAGAGTCACGTAAATAAATCTAGTTAATAAACGATTCATCAGGAATGATTTTATTTCCTCAAAAATTAATAATTTGACTTTTTATATAACTAATTATTGTAAGAAACAATTTAACATTGTAAAAAATTTTTTAATATATCTTGATAATGATAATAGTTTATAGTCGCATGACAATAATTGAATACTCTTGTGATATGTAATTACCTAGGACACTGAAAATATATTTTATGAAAATCCAAAATAGATGCACTAGTACATTACCGTAGTATGGAGTGAATTTTATATAAATATATTTTTTATTTATGTAATTAATATTCGTAAAAACATTAAATAAGTATTAAATTGATTTCATTATTATACAAGTCGAGATCCCGAAATAATTGTTGCATTCCATTTCATAAACTCGGAGAAAAAATTAAATTTTTTATTAAATAGAAAAAAATAAAAAAAAATGATTTGCGACAGAAATACTGATTTTTATTTTACTAATAATTTCTATCAACATTTTTTGTTATCTATTGTTGTTTCAACTTCAGTCATAAGGTTTAAAAAATATAGCTTATTATTTATTATGATCGGAATGTGCGAAAAGTGTATTCTTTAGTTTTAGTTTATTATGCAATGAGAATAAAGCTGTTTATGCAATAATATCGCTACAAATACTTTTTTAATTATCATCAGCTACGACAATCGTTACTTGCTTGTCGATCATTTTGATTTTTTATTACCTACAAACAATGCTTTTTAATCGATCAGTTAGTTATTATTACCAGACAATAAAATTTTCCTAGCATTAAAAAAATTGAACAGATATTTATGGCAACTATTAAATATATTCTCAGAAAATCAGTCAATTCAAATAAGTGTGTTTATTAAAAATATTCAAAATAGTTATTATTAAATTCATGTATTTCATCATTTTTTATTTTACATCATTCATTATAATTCATTGTGGAAATGCAAAACAATTTTTAATGTTGCAACATAACAAAATATAAACTTATTGAATGGAAAAATTACTGCGAAAAATCATGAACTTACTTAGCATAGTAATAAATGTTATAAAAATAATGATCATGATAATTATTGTTAGTGGTGTAGTTAGGCACAGTTGTATTCTTATTCATCAAGAATATTAAAGAAGTATTCGACCTGTAATAAATAATAATTAACAATCATTTTTACGACAATAATTAGCATAAATAACATAGTTTATTTGATGTGTGATTATATCATAGTTAAAGTAAAATAGATCCGATCTTACTTCTAGAGGTCCATCCTCTGGAAGGTCAGAACAGTGGACGGCATTCTGTATTTTTGTTTTTCCATATTTTGCTCGAAGAGTAGTTGGTCTTATTTTTCGTGCGATTTCCTATTGACAATCATTATTAATTTCACTATTCACTTGGAACTATTGTTCGATAATAAAAATTTGTACTGAGAAACGTAACTTCTAAATAGAAATAGAATATTTATATCACTTACTGGATCAAATGGACCACAGAATTTTCTAAAGTCTACCGTGACATCAATAGATTTATTTTCATGAGTAATTTCCATAGCTATACATGGTCCTGACTGTAGTTCAGCAACCATTGCCTATAAAAATAATGAATCAGCACAAGTAAGACGTTGTAATATTTGTAAATAATATTACATACTGCATAATCAGCAAAAACACCTTTGTAGACCTCCAAAAATTCTTCAGCATTAACTGGGTCAACATTAAATTCTTGTATCGCGGTAATTCGATAACCTCCTTTCTGAATATCATCCACAATGTCACCTTAAACATCAACAACATTAATTATCATCATAAATACTCACGCATTATTACTTTTTACAGCGTAATACATCATCTATTAAGAACCTAATTATTTGTAAAATATGATCTTACTGGTAATTTATTTAATGATTATATGAAACAATTTACCGGTTAACTCAGCCTGAACAGCATGAGGTTTTACGATGCAACAAGTACAGTTGGTTAAAGTAGCAGAATTCTTTATTTTTTTTTTCTTCTTTGTTTTTAGATTGGGGAAAAAGTAATTTAATTCTTCTTCTGCTGCTTCAAGATTTAAAGATCCATGAAAGCCGTTCTCTGTTATACTCTTTGCAAAATGAGCTCGTAAAGATGAAGAATCAGTTTCTGGTAGATGATCTGATGGTCCAACCAATTCATTCCAACGGTTTATTACATTTTCTCCAAGTAACATTAGGGTTACAACAGGACCTGAAGTTAAATATTCTTTTATTCGACTGAAAAAAGATTCATCCGATTATTTATTTGATAATATGGAGTTTGATAAAAGATTGATGATCTTATGGTTAATAGATAGACTTACGAAAGTTGTTCGTTATTTCTATACAATTTTTCTACATCATAATCATCTAAAAGACACATTTTGATATTAGCTATGTGAATATTATGAGCTGTAATAGTTTTCAAAATTTCTCCCATTTTATTAATTACATAAGGCTTCAACATAGCAAAGGTTCTGGAATAAAATTCTCATCATTACTTTTAATATTAAGTGTTTGGCAATTATAAATTATGTAAGCACTTTTTTAATCATCACAATTACTTTTTACTTACTTTTCTAATGTTTTGTTTACTTTTATTTTAGTGTTGTCATCGACAGCATCAACGATTTTCATAGGTCGGGAAAAAATAGTGACCATAGACCCAACATATAAATCTTTTAAACTGATTCCTTCACATTTTGTTCTTCTAAGAAATATTTTTTTATTTTTTATATCAAACTAGTGGAAATAATAAAATAAAAAGAGCATGATTGAAATTAAAAAATTTCTATTTATGAATAAAAAGATTATTTTGATAATCAAATCTTACCAACTCAATAGAATTATCTATTGAGAAAAAATATAAATAGAAATTTTTAGTAATTTCTGCTGTGGTGTCAAACCACTCAGCTTTGAAAATAAATTTTTCACCGTCAGTTGACATTTTTGTTAGAAAAAGATTGGTTTATACAATACAAAATTCATTGACTCACGAAAAAACAAAAGCCAACATACTGTTACTGTAAACAGCTGGCAAACAGAGAAATGGATCGCTTGAATAGTCCACAGTACACTCGGCGTCATTAAGGCTGGGCTGAAGTCAGAAAGGCGACTGATTCCCCCTATCCAAATACACGGGATCGGGATATTTCTAATTTCTTCGCCAATTTACGATTATTTCTATAAAATTAGGTACCAAATTACAGAGGAATTAATGCCGGACTGACGTAAACAACAATTTTTTGTATATAGTGAATATTTTTATTAAAAAAATTAGAAAAAATAATGAAAAAATTATGAATTGACTTGCCGCGCTTAAATTTCAAGATGGCGGCCACATCATTCAGATGAAAAATCACTAATTATTCTTTTTTAAACGTTTTTCGCCCAAAATTCGTGTTTGCGTCAGTCTTTGCCACCTGTCTGAATGTCAAAAAAATCAATTCATAGTATAAAATTGAATAATTGAGAAATAATTAGAAATATTGTATTCCAGATGATATTCTCCGGAAAATTAGTTTGAAAAAATCCTGATAGGTGACAGCATTATGCTCGCAGATGACCTCAGTCATTCATATTGAAAAAATGCTCAATCCGTATCCAGAACTGATGGTGCCCTGCATTTTGGTGAGTAATTTGTGTATGAGTGTGTACGGGTGATATATGTATGTGATGTAAACATAGTGTATCGCTTTACAATGCCTTATACTTTGATGACTATTGCAGTTAGAATAAATGAAAATGATGATACTCATTTAACATTAATTAATATAATACCTGCAAATAACTTTAAATACATATATTTATCCATTATTATCATTTTTATTAGGTATAAATGTTAATAAGGAAGCTCAATTCCAAGTCGGCGTATCCAAGCATGTAGTATAAAAACAAATACACATAAACTCAATATCGAGATTATGCTGGCCATGTGGTTAGAGCGTCAGAGTTCTATTTTGCCGGGCAGGGTTCGATCCCAGTCATAATGACTTTTTTTTCTACTTTATTCGTTAGATTAGCATGTAATTATAATATTGACATGCCATAATTAATCCATGATAATGATTTGATTTTTTTTTCTCTTTACTCATTGAATTTATTGACATTAAGTCGGAAAATATTTGAACAGAGCCATAAACTTTTTTTTTGTATAAATACATTGATAATAGCCTGTGTTTAACAACTTATACATCTTTACATGTATTAACAATGTTATGTTATTAACAAGTTAATCATATTATTATTAACATTGAAAAGTAGTTTAAACAATCTGTGGCGAGTTTCGGCACTTTCCCGGCAAGCTCTACCCCCACTCTCTGTGCCCAAGCCTGCAGATTATAATTTTTAAGCATATATAAGCGTATTGAAACCATAATAGCTCAGTGGTTACAGCATCGGTCTTTTATTTTGCTATAGTCCAATGAAGGGATGGCCGAAACTACCATTTTGGGGAAAAAGAATGAAACCAACGCGAAAATGTTCGTAAAAGTCGTAGGAATATTATTGTAAAAAGTCAGCATCCTAAACGTAAAGGAACCCTTGCAAAAAAATTGCGAAAGCGTGCAAAAATGACTTTTTCGGTAATATCTCGAGAACGGCTGGAGATATGAAGAAAAGTTTTAAGTAAAAGTTGTAGAGAATTAAATTCTCTACAAAAAAGTATTTATACATTTTTTACGTATCTCTTACCGTTTATTAATTATACGCCATCAAAGGTACCGTGGAACGTCGAATTTTTCAAAAAATTATTGTAGATGTAAAAAATTTTTTTTTTAAAAAAGACCAAATCAGAGGGCTTCTTCATTACTCTGACAATATTTTTAAAGGTAATGAGCTTTTCATTAATTAATATTAATTTGAAAATTTCAAATTAATTTTTTTTACACTTAATCGAATTGAATTTTTTTTTTTTCTATACCATTCGATTCAGCGTAAAATTTACGTTAAAGTATGCTCTCGTACTTGGATTTCCATTTTAATCCACGTGAGATTGATTAAAAAAATGAATTGGGGGACTTTCATTTCTTACGGTACTGCCGCTGAGAGAGAACGACATATCTCTCCTTCTCATTCGCACTCATTATATTTTTCTGCACATGCGCGGCGCATAGAAAAGTGTAAGTGCGAGAGAGAACGGCAGTATCTTCCGTTTCACTTGCACTCACTACATTCTTCTGCACATGCGCGGCGCATAAAGAAGTGTAAGTACAAGAGAGAACGGCAGTTTCTTCCGTTTCTCTCACACTCACTACACTTTTATACACATGCGCGGCGCATAAAGAAGTATAAGTGCAAGAGAGAACGGCAGTTTTCTTCCGTTTCACTCACACTCACTGTACTTTTAAACACGTGCGGAGTATACGACAAAATATAAGTGCGAGTGAGATCGCATACTCCGCTAGTGGAAGCGCAACAGATAGAAAAGGGCCCATTGAATCCTACTGTAAACATATTAAATTTTATTACTGCTATTATTCTAGATGAATAGTCAGCAGCTATGGACATTCTTGATGTTGAGTCGAAAATGCTTTTTCACTCAAGTTGAAAATCTTTAAAAATTTTTCTAAGTTTTTAAAATAATTTCAAACTATGGAAAATTGGGTTAAAAAAAAGTAATCATTTTTATATATACACATCGATAGAGAATTTAATTCTCTATCGAATGAGATCAACTTTTTTTTTATTATTTATATGTTGCAAAATACAAAAATTTATCAAATTTTGCAACATTTTTCAACGATAATGTAATTATAACATTGTTTCATACATGTGTGCAAATTTTTAAATATTTTTAAAAAATTTAAAAAATTCTTTTTGAAGAATTAAAGAAAAATTCTTTATAAGGAAAGAAAAATTCTTTTTCAACAATTAAAAATTATTATCATAAATAAAATTACTACCATCAAGCTGTAAATTTACACACATATTCACAACATTTATACAAACATGTATGCAAATTTTTGAACTTCCCCAACAACCGGAAGTTGCCAATCAAATTTATTAAAAAAAAAATATGTAAGAAAAGTATCTTCTTCTTGAAGAATTAAAAAATATTATCATCAATCAAATTGTTTTAATACAACTGAAAATTTGCACCCATCTTCTCAAGATGTATACAAACATGACTATAAAATTTATTAAAAAAATATAAATGTATAAAAAAAAATTTCTTTTTTCGAGAAACAGGAAAATTATGTTTTATTCTTTATAATTTCTCTTGGCTCCAAAAATGTGAGAACATCTGACTATTTTATGAGTCTCACTTACGCACATGCGCGGATCCCTTAAAGCATGATGGTCTGTGGCAAAGTAGGGATGCAGGTATGGAAGTGTCAGACCCATGCCTTCGTTCATGGACCCCTCCGTCCAACAACGACGATGGCTATAGATTTTGCACTTCGGATTACACACGCAGCATATTTCTAATGTTGCGCACGCACTGTTCTTTTTGCTCTATCTAATTCAATAGGTACGACTGAAATAGATGAAACATAGTCCATTTGCCTTCGCTTCGGCGTCATACTGACTTTACTTTACCCTCAACATTCTGTGAGTTTGGTACGATTTTTTACGTTAACAGAATATTAGTAATTCCTTATTCAATTATTTCAACATTCTTTCTTAACAATTATAAATTGTGTTTGTGCGTATTGTACTTTGTTAGTGTACGTGAACATTGCAGATATTACAAACATCAGAGCTTCTGGAATTTTTTTGGAGCGTCACCACGTGTTCAGCGCAACGAATATATTGCATTGAGTGTAAGGTACATATCCCCCATAATAATTATTTTATGTCATTATATTTATTGCCATGCATTCATACGATGTTACTTATTATCTATTAATTATTTTTTGCCAGGGTAATTTCTCATACAGTTCTTTCCATAAACAACTTATACGCTCGTTATGCTAGTTATTGCAATATTAATGTATGTCAATATCATTATTGGAAAATAATTTTTTTTTCCTTTCCAATACGATGCTATATATATTACATTACATGTATGTCATATATTATAGTTTCATACATTAAACTATAACGTACTTTTGTTGTTTGTGTATACCGTTAGTTTCACTTTTTCGTTATGACGCATTCAACAGATTCGAACTGATGCCCATTACCTTTTGAGTCAGGTATATTGGGTACTTTTGACTTTGAAGCGCTCCTCAGGTAACTTAACTAACAGCTTGACTCTGACAGACCTTTTCTACTACTCAATTTTATAACATAAAGTCCCATATAACTATATGTCACAGCTTCAAATTTTTTTGGTATTCATTTTTTTTGAAAATTCATTTTTTTAACGTCAACATTCCCATTTTATTGCAGATTTTTGAAATATAATGGATTCTTCACTTTTGTGCTCCATTTGTTTGCAAGAACTAGCTGCCGACTCGACTACTGTGGTTTATGAAAAAGGACTACAAACGTTGATTAAAAGAAGCCAAGAAAAAGGTGACGATAAATGGAAGCAATGGATTGGTAAACAAAATTATACTTTTCATATTAACTGTCGGAAACGATACGCTGTATCGTTAAGAGAACCTAACACAATGTCGTTGCGACAATCTTCTGAAATAGTTTCTAATCTGCAATCAGCAGCAGACGTAATACCCTCTTCTCCCTCCGCCTCTGGATCATCTACATCATTCTCTGAATTTCAAAATGATTTTCAATTCGACAAGCTATGCTTCATATGTGGTAATGTATGGGATAAAAGGAAACCAGGATCGATCGTCAGCGAAAATAGAATGAAAGATCGTTTCATTGCTGCTGCTAGAGAACATGATGATTCTTTTGGAGCTCCTATTATCGCACGTCTACAAAGCATCGAATCTATTGTTGCAGCGAAGGCACGATATCATACAACATGTAATATAAAATTAATATTACCACTCTACAAAAAACCCTCATCTACCAATAGTAAAGAAACAGATGTTACCTTTCAAAGAATATATGAACATATCGAATCTAGTGGTGAATTTAAATTTCGTTACTCGACTTTAAAAGCACTAATGGACGATGATGATAATTATGAAATTTCCACTCGAACTTTATTTCGACATTTAAAAAAAAAATATGGAGATGACATTTTTATATTTCAACATAAAGGCAAAGAACCAATAATCTATTACAAATATCATAATATGGCACAAATTTGTAGCGATTGGTATGGTGGTAGTGAGTCTGTCAGTGAATCCGCCAAACGAACTATACTTCAAGTATGTGCCGAGATTTTACAAGATGAAATTAAGAAATTTCGATACAACACAACAACTTATCCTACACCTCAGGCATTTCTCGATACTGTTACATCAGACATACCTCCACTTCTTAATAGTTTTTTACACAGATTAATAATAACAGATGGAAAGGAGCAGTCTCATGAATCTTCACTTTACATCAAAATTGAAAATCTTGCCCACTCTATTATATCAGCACTTCGCCCAAAATCATTTATCTCATGTCTTCAATTATCTATAGAAACGTACATTTATCGTAAGACGGGATCAAAATTAGCTATAAATTTATTAAACAGATTAGGAATATGTTCGTCGTACCATAATATTCAACTCCACGAAGCTTCAACGATTATTCATCCACAAACAACTAAAATCGAAAATGCATTTGTCCAATATGTTTTTGATAATACTGACCACAATGCCAGTACTTCAGATGGTCGTGAAACCTTTCACTGTTTAGGTGGCATTGCTGCGTATACTCCAGCTGATCATATTTCATATGAAGGAAGTACAATTAAAGAATTACCAAGCTTTTGACCAACAACACCGATTTAATACGTACAGCATTGGAGTATGAATTATCTCCATTTCCGTTATCATTATTCGATGAAAATGGATATATGAGGAAAGGAACGAAATCAGATTTATATGATGTTTTTGAAACAATAAACGCTAGTAGTAAAATTTTGAAAGAATCCGTTTGTGTCATCGATGGAGGATGGCTATTACACCAAGTACAATGGCCGCATAGTAAAACATTCCGAGATATTTGTGATCTTTATGTTTCATATATTCATCGACATTTCCCGGAAGCATACATAGTTTTTGATGGATACAGTAATGAAAATGTTGCTGTAAAAACATATGAACGATTTCGTCGTAATGAAAAAAATTTTGCTCCAGATGTTAATATCAATATGGATTTGATGGTATTATTAACACGTGAAAAGTTTTTAGCAAATATTGCTAATAAACATAAATTCATAAATTTACTAACAGAATCCTTGAGGCAATCAAACATTCATGTTGAAGTGGCAAATGGAGATGCTGACACATTGATTGTAACTACTGCAATCGAATTGAAGAATCGTGTATCAAAATCGGTAGTAGTTGTAGGTAATGATGTCGATCTCATTGTTTTATTAGTCGGTCTGACTTCACCTGGCACAATCATATATTTCTATAAAATGGGATCAGGTAAAACTGAGAGCAGAGTTTATGACACACATTCCAATCAGCTATTCAAAGATTTCATTCTATTCGTCCATGCATTTTCTGGCTGTGATTCAACAAGTGCCCTATTTAATAAAGGCAAAAAGAGATTAGTAAAGCTGTTTCTCGAAGATGCACAATTAACAGATATGATAAAACCTTTTTACAGTAGTAACAGTGAAAAACGAATTTTGTATGAAGTTGCAGAAAAAATAATTTTCCAGCTTTATCTTAGTAATAATACAAAAGAGCAACCTACAACAATTGCTGAACTAAGATACTACTTATTTAATCAAACGATATTCCATAATAATAAAGAATCGTCATTAGCTACTTTACCTCCAACTCAAGCAGCACTTCTAGAGCATACAAAAAGAGTCTATTTACAAGTACAAGAATGGCTTGGAAAAAACATGGACGCTGAAGAATGGGGATGGAAGAGAATATTCCAAATCATCATGTATCCAGTGATGACAACAGCACCGCCCGCACCAGATGTACTACTTGAACAGGTAATTAAGGAACGAAAGTAATTTAAAGTCTATGAGTAATTACAAAGGTACTGAAAATAATAAAATTATATTCCAGGTTCGTTGTTCATGCACGGACTGTTCGAGTAGCCGTTGCACGTGTAAAAAGAGTGGTATTCGCTGTACTCAGCTTTGTAAGAACTGTGAAGGGAATGCTTGCGAAAACAAGGCGATACAACCGGCAGAACAAACTGCAGAAATTTGTGAAGAAGAAGAAAATAATGATGAACTTGAGGCAGAAGAATATTTGGAGGAAGAGTCGGAAACGGAGGAGCAAATCGAAGAAGAGTTAGATCACACTAACACTGCTGAACCGATGGAAATCGATTTCGACAATTATTAATTTATTATTAAATAAAAATACAAATCTAAGCTCACTTTTAATTCGTTGTATTTATTTATATCCACAACAACTGTCCACAAACAAATATTTAGTAAAATGATCATGGAAGGTGTGCAAATTTTCAGTTGTATTAAAATAACTTTATTGATGATAATATTTTGTAATTCTGCAAGAAGAAGATATTTCTCTTACATTTTTTTTTTTTAAATTTGATTGTCAACTTCCGGTTATCGGGGGGAATTAAAAATTTGAACGCATGTTTGTTGAAGCGATGAGAATATGTGTGCAAATTTTAAGCTTGATTGTAGTAATTTTATTTATAGTGATATTTTCTAATTATTTAAAAAGAATTTTTCTTTCCTTCTAAAGATTTTTTTCTATAATTCTTTAAAAAGAAATTTTTTTTTATAATTGTTAAGAAAGAATGTTGAAATAATTGAATAAGGAATTACTAATATTCTGTTAACGTAAAAAATCGTACCAAACTCACAGAATGTTGAGGGTAAAGTAAAGTCAGTATGACGCCGAAGCGAAGGCAAATGGACTATGTTTCATCTATTTCAGTCGTACCTATTGAATTAGATAGAGCAAAAAGAACAGTGCGTGCGCAACATTAGAAATATGCTGCGTGTGTAATCCGAAGTGCAAAATCTATAGCCATCGTCGTTGTTGGACGGAGGGGTCCATGAACGAAGGCATGGGTCTGACACTTCCATACCTGCATCCCTACTTTGCCACAGACCATCATGCTTTAAGGGATCCGCGCATGTGCGTAAGTGAGACTCATAAAATAGTCAGATGTTCTCACATTTTTGGAGCCAAGAGAAATTATAAAGAATAAAACATAATTTTCCTGTTTCTCGAAAAAAGAAATTTTTTTTTATACATTTATATTTTTTTAATAAATTTTATAGTCATGTTTGTATACATCTTGAGAAGATGGGTGCAAATTTTCAGTTGTATTAAAACAATTTGATTGATGATAATATTTTTTAATTCTTCAAGAAGAAGATACTTTTCTTACATATTTTTTTTTTAATAAATTTGATTGGCAACTTCCGGTTGTTGGGGAAGTTCAAAAATTTGCATACATGTTTGTATAAATGTTGTGAATATGTGTGTAAATTTACAGCTTGATGGTAGTAATTTTATTTATGATAATAATTTTTAATTGTTGAAAAAGAATTTTTCTTTCCTTATAAAGAATTTTTCTTTAATTCTTCAAAAAGAATTTTTTAAATTTTTTAAAAATATTTAAAAATTTGCACACATGTATGAAACAATGTTATAATTACATTATCGTTGAAAAATGTTGCAAAATTTGATAAATTTTTGTATTTTGCAACATATAAATAATAAAAAAAAAGTTGATCTCATTCGATAGAGAATTAAATTCTCTATCGATGTGTATATATAAAAATGATTACTTTTTTTAACCCAATTTTCCATAGTTTGAAATTATTTTAAAAACTTAGAAAAATTTTTAAAGATTTTCAACTTGAGTGAAAAAGCATTTTCGACTCAACATCAAGAATGTCCATAGCTGCTGACTATTCATCTAGAATAATAGCAGTAATAAAATTTAATATGTTTACAGTAGGATTCAATGGGCCCTTTTCTATCTGTTGCGCTTCCACTAGCGGAGTATGCGATCTCACTCGCACTTATATTTTGTCGTATACTCCGCACGTGTTTAAAAGTACAGTGAGTGTGAGTGAAACGGAAGAAACTGCCGTTCTCTCTTGCACTTATACTTCTTTATGCGCCGCGCATGTGTATAAAAGTGTAGTGAGTGTGAGAGAAACGGAAGAAACTGCCGTTCTCTCTTGTACTTACACTTCTTTATGCGCCGCGCATGTGCAGAAGAATGTAGTGAGTGCAAGTGAAACGGAAGATACTGCCGTTCTCTCTCGCACTTACACTTTTCTATGCGCCGCGCATGTGCAGAAAAATATAATGAGTGCGAATGAGAAGGAGAGATATGTCGTTCTCTCTCAGCGGCAGTACCGTAAGAAATGAAAGTCCCCCAATTCATTTTTTTAATCAATCTCACGTGGATTAAAATGGAAATCCAAGTACGAGAGCATACTTTAACGTAAATTTTACGCTGAATCGAATGGTATAGAAAAAAAAAAAATTCAATTCGATTAAGTGTAAAAAAAATTAATTTGAAATTTTCAAATTAATATTAATTAATGAAAAGCTCATTACCTTTAAAAATATTGTCAGAGTAATGAAGAAGCCCTCTGATTTGGTCTTTTTTAAAAAAAAAATTTTTTACATCTACAATAATTTTTTGAAAAATTCGACGTTCCACGGTACCTTTGATGGCGTATAATTAATAAACGGTAAGAGATACGTAAAAAATGTATAAATACTTTTTTGTAGAGAATTTAATTCTCTACAACTTTTACTTAAAACTTTTCTTCATATCTCCAGCCGTTCTCGAGATATTACCGAAAAAGTCATTTTTGCACGCTTTCGCAATTTTTTTGCAAGGGTTCCTTTACGTTTAGGATGCTGACTTTTTACAATAATATTCCTACGACTTTTACGAACATTTTCGCGTTGGTTTCATTCTTTTTCCCCAAAATGGTAGTTTCGGCCATCCCTTCATTGGACTACTAGGCAGGGTTCGATTCCAGTCATGATAAAGTTTTTTTTTCTCTTTTATTTGTTAGATTTGCATGTAATTATATTATTAACATGCCAAAAGTAATTGTTTACAACGATTTGATTTTTTTTTTCTCAATTATTTATGTAATTTATCGACGCCGAGTCGGAAAACATATGAACAGGGTTATAAACACTTTTTTTACTATAGCTACATGAACGTAGCTTTTTTTAAGCAATTTAGGGCGAGTTTCACCACATAGCAGACTGCTATTGTGTACCAACTTAAAATTTTAAAAATGAAAGAAATTACCATTTGTGCCATCTGGCGAGTTCTGGTGAAGTAACTTATGTTCTTGGAAAGAAATTTCAATATGGTTGACCGGCAAAAGTGATTGTAAACAAGAATAAGACTGAATAGGTAAATTTTACTCCTTATAACTTTTCTTTCACTTAATTCACTCATTAATCATCACTTATTGATAAATAAACTTCTTAATTATCTCAATATAGTGCAGGTAACTGCAATTTATATTAATTTTTCTCATAAATATTATCTGTATGCTATGATTTATTTTGTTCAGGAGAATGAATAATCTTTTGCTACTGATTCTTTTTGACGACGATGATGATGATGATATTGTCAGAAGGTCTCGGATAATTCGTCCTCGAATGAATTGGTTCGATACTTTTGATGACGAAGATTTTGTACAAAGATTTCGCCTAACCAAAGCAATGACAAGGGTAGTTTTTGAGCAAATAGAGGCAAGAATAACTCCTGACTCACCACTGTATGTAATAAATTTAATATTAAGCGCATATCAATAGATTATTTCTAGGCATTTCAATTTCATGTACATTCATTTCAATTTTCAGCAATAATGCGATTCCACCAATGATCCAGATGCTTGTAGCTATGAGATTTCTAGCTACTGGATCATTTTACATCACAATAGGAGATTTTACTGGTATTAGCAAAACTAGCGTTTGGCGAATCGTGCATAGAGTATCAGAAGCAATTGCTGGATTGAGGGAACGTTACATCTATATACCGCCTTCTCATCAAGAAATTAGAGCTATTCATAGTCAAAATTTTAGTCAAGCCGCCTTTCCTCGTGTCCTGGGTGCTATCGATTGCGTCCATGTTCGGGTTTGTTCGTATGGTATGTATACATATACAATAACTCATCTTGTTATAATGCGATATATACATACATGTATATAATTTCAATCAATTATGTAAACTATTACAATTTAAGGTATCAATATTACAGGTGGAGAGTATGCAGAGTTATTCCGGAATAGGAAATCGTTTTTTTCAATCAACACTCAAGTCATTGTCAATTCGAGATTGGAGATTATAGATATTGTGTCACGTTGGCCTGGATCGGCACACGATGCTACCATATTTGACAATTCTAGAATAAAAAGACGATTCGAAAACGGTGAATTCTATAACTCATTGCTTGTAGGTGATTCTGCATATTCTCAAGTGCCATTTATTATGACACCATTGCACAATCCTATGACTCCAGCTGAAGTCCTTTATAATGAGTCACAAATTCGAACACGAACGATGGTTGAGAGATGTTTTGGTGTTTGGGGACGAATGTTCGCCGTTTTAACTATAGGTTCCAGGTTTTTTAAATCAGAGTTGAGTATGCATGCAATAATTGCATCCGCTGTGTTATATAATGTGACAAGAAGAGCAATTCCTCAATCGCTAATAAATCAAAGAGCTTATGATCAAATTCCTGAAACTCATCAGCAACTTATACAAAATCAGCAGAGACATATAATAAATAATTATTTTCATAAGTAAGTATCGAAAATTAATATATATCATGATTATTATATTATATTCCATGGTGGAAATATATCTACAACAAACTACAATTTTACACAACCATGCAAAATGTTGTCAAAAATTGTAATTTGTTGTAGAGTCACGTAGAAAGTTGTAGATATATTTCCACCAGGGTTGTAATTTATTGAGTCTACTCTGTTTCAGTTTACTTTGAATGGGTATCTTGATATGCTTTGATTGTCTACATTACATCTACTATACATCTATTTAGATTATTATCTGTAAAAAGATTTAATAAAATAATAACATGATAATGCAATAATAAGAATGTCGTTTACAAAGGTTTATAGATGTTTATTTATTTTTAACTGTGATAATAAAGTTATACAGTGTATATTAAACTTTTTTAATCATACATGTTGCCATTTTCACAAAAGTAATATTAAGATCTTTTTAACTCAAAAAAATACAAAATGTCGAGTTACTAAACTACGAATTAATAATTTTTTCATGTTTTGTACTAATGTTATTAATAATTAAATATGATTTAACATTTATTAATGATAGAACTTGCAATACTTATCGACTTAGAATCACAATCATATTGCATAGTAATACTTTCATCACGTGCATAAAAAATATATTTTTTTTCACAAAACTAAATAACATTTTCTTATACTAATTTGTTTTTTAACATATTAAATGCTGATCTACTAATAACAATACTTTTGCACATAGATCATTCTTTTTTGAAGAATACTAAACGTTATTCATAAAATTTTATGAAATAATTCTTTCATTCAAGTTTAAGAAGAAACATATGCTCAATCTCACATGTAAATATTAAGATTTAAAAACGAATTAACGAACTATAATTAATACTTGAACGATAATATTTGGTTATTAGACTATATTGTTAAAATTGTACTTTCGTTTTTAAATATATCATATATCTATGTCCTCTAATCGGATTCGGAACTAAGCAAAATCGAATCATCATTCTGAGAAGCAGTCTGTTGATTCTCATCATTATAATCAGGTTTTTGTACTTTAGCATGGCTAGCTATATTTTTCTTTATGTTATCATTACTAGAATTGTTCTTTTTCATTTTATTCAAACCAAAACATTTAGCTTTTAGAATTTCCAGTTCGAGATTTTCTTGCGCTAACTTTGTTTTTAGATATTCTTTTTCTAATGCTTGGTTTTCAGTTAAACTTTTTTTAAGTAATTGAAAAGCTTCTACTTTAAGAGACGTTAATTCGGTTGCAGACCACTTTTGTCTTGATGCATTAGTAATGCCCGTGGATGTACTAGGAATTTGCTGTGAAACATTACTGACGGCATTACGTAAAGGAGCACTCAATGATGCTTTTAACTTCTTCGGGTCCCATTTGTTCCATTTTTCTATTTTTTTTGTTTGAAGTAAATGCTATAAAAAATAATAACTAAATGTTTCTTATTTAAATTATCATTTTGTGTCACAATTAATAACTAAAAATCTATGAAAACTCAATAAAAATTAATGCATGTATTAAGATCTAAAAATTCTAGAATAAAATGAAATAATTCAACTTACATCAAACACTACTTTGTTAGGACATTCATTTTCAGCATCACTATCGAATATATTCTGTAGGCCTTCTACAGAGAATGGATGAATTATTTCCAATGCTGCCATATCAATTATACTCATTTGACCTGTATTAACACCTCCACCTGTAAAAATTAGTATTAATGATAATTGATAGTAAGTCTGGGTTCGAATTATTATTGATTTTATTTATTATTAGGTTACCTGTAGCACGTGTTTGTTGCTTAGATTGTGCTGCATTTTTTCGAGCACATTGTTTTATATGCTGCCAGCAGTTTCGCAAGGATGCAGTATTTCGTTTGAATACAACTTTCTTGTTGAATGTCTCCGTTATGACACTCCATGCTTCATCTTTTTCGAGATTTCCGACTGCATCAGTTCTCTTATTCTCCACCACTTTTGAATGTTGCTTTACCAAATCAATTAGTATTAGTTTGTCATCAACGGAATAATGTTTTTGTGACATTTCAATAATAATCTAGAATGAAATTACATTATTAAAATGAATCATTCATTTCCATTGATTCAAATGTATGAACATAAATGAGCCTTTAACCTTACTTCTTTCAATTTCTATGCTAATAACAATTGCTACTATTTATTTACATTTGTTCAATAAACGATTTTCTAGCTAATACATGATTCAGTAATAATACTTACTAATATTTATTGTAAAATAAGTGAAAGAAAAGTTATAAGGAGTAAAATTTACCTATTCAGTCTTATTCTTGTTTACAATCACTTTTGCCGGTCAACCATATTGAAATTTCTTTCCAAGAACATAAGTTACTTCACCAGAACTCGCCAGATGGCACAAATGGTAATTTCTTTCATTTTTAAAATTTTAAGTTGGTACACAATAGCAGTCTGCTATGTGGTGAAACTCGCCCTTAGAAATATTTAGAAGTAGTTGAAATAATCCACGGGGATTTCCGGCACTTCGCCGGCAAACTCTATCCCTACCCTTCGTACTCAAGCCTGCATTATACAATTTATAAACATAAACGTAATGTCAGAGATGATGTGTTAGCTCTATGAGTAGAACACCAAGCTTTCATTTTACCGATTAGGGTTCGATCCCAGTCATGGCCAATTTTTTTTTTTCCCTTTTTTTTTCATTAAAATTTTATATAAATACAAAAATTGGTTGTTTATATAAGTTCAAAATCAATTCCTATTATCTTTTAAAGACAACACTTTCGAAAAAAGAGAATTCATAGTAACTCGTTCCTCACCCTCAGCTTATTTTCAGAAAAACAAGTTGTTTTCCGTAATTAATTGAAAGAATAATTTAATCAAATATATGAATTAATTTATAAGTATATAAAGTCACTTAAGCAAAAAAAAGAAAAAACAATTGCCTATGACTGGGATCGAACCCTGCCCAGCAAAATAAAAGTTTGGTGCTCTAACCACTGAGCTATTATGGTTCCAATAATGTTAAAGATGCTTGAAAATTATAAGCTGCAGGCTTGGGCACAGAGAGTGGGGGTAGAGCTTGCCGGGAAAGTGCCGGAACTCGCCGCGGATTGTTTAAACTATTTTTTATTGTTAATAAGTTGTTAAAAAAGGCTATTATCAATGTATTTGTACAAAAAAAAGGTTAATGGCCCTGTTCAAATATTTTCTCATTTGTCATCGATTAATTAAAAAATAGTTTTACATAAAAATTGAAATTCAAAACTCATTTTTGGCATGATAAAATTGCAATTACATGCAATTTAAATAAAAAAAAAATTTTGCCGCAATTTGAATCGAACACCGTTCGGTAAAATAACTGTCGAACCTTCTGACTATAGAGCCAGCATATTTTCATTTGCTTTGTTTACGTTTAGATATTATAAGCTTCAGGCTTGGTAACAGAGGGTGGGGGATGTGCTTGCTCGTCAACTGTTCGAACTCGCAGTCTTCTCTGAAAAATAAGACGGAGATAGATAGATGTATTCTGTGCTCTGTCTTGCTCGGAACTAGAGATGTGAATCGGTAATTGACGGGTAAATTTACCGTAAATTACCGGTAAAAAACGCGTCAATGACCAAGCCTGTTTTACCATACCGGTCAGAAAAATGCTGATCTCTGATTGGTTAATACATGTCCAATCACAGTTTAGAATTCCCAACGGCATACAACTGTTTATTTGTTCTATCAGGTATATATTTTCATTTTTATTTGTTTATTAAAAATACTGATAATATTTAATATAAGAAAATTCAATTTGTAGATAAGGATTTTCATTGAGAACTTGGTGCAATGGGGGAGAACAAATCAATATATAAACATTTCTCTGCATTACCTCTGCAACCTAACCAAAAATTAAAATCGTATTCATGTAACTATTGCAAGAAAAAGTATGCAGAAAACATTACTCGCATGCGAAAACATCTTTATAAAGAGTGTAGAAGTTGTCCTCAAGACTTACGGAAACTTTTAAAACCATGTAAACCTCGTAAACGAAATAATTCTCATCTAAACAGCACAGACGACTCATTTACTATTGAAGATTTGAATGGAGCAGACAATAGAGCAAGTACTTCAATGATTTCAAATGAAAATTTACCAAATAATATAAGTGTTTGTAGCAATAACTATAAAAAAAATACAATCGATAGTTTTTGTGATAAAATGTCAAAAAAAGATGAAGATTCTCTACAAGAACTACTTGCAGAAGCGATTTATGCATCTGGTACACAATTATGTATAACAGACGATCCATATTGGCTAAAATTTTTTAACGCATTACGGCCTTCATTTAATTTGCCATCAACAAATCAAATATCAAATAATCTTTTAGATTCAGTATTCGTTAGAACACAAAATATGGTTAATGAAAAAATTGAATCTGCTACTACTGTTGGAGTGCAATAAATTAAATCTAAATAGTGATAAGGTATTAAAAGATTTAACAGATTATGTGTCAGAATCAAGTATGTGGAGTTACGACTACGTTAAGCGAGCAAGTATAATCACTTCAGCATGTCAATGGTGGCAAAGTATTTGCCAAAAATCTTCGTTGAGCAAAATAGCTGTGGCTATATTGACTTTACCTGCAACATCAGCTGCAACCGAGCGTTCCTTTAGTACACAAGGATGGATTCATTCATCTAAAAGAAATAGGTTAAGTATCGATAGAGCTGGAAAAATAACATACATTGCAAGAAATTTAAAATTACTTAATCCTTCACCAAAAAATACAGAAGAAGAATGGGAAAAAGATGAGGAAAGTAATAAAGGAGAGGATGAAATAAGTGAAATTTGTGCTGAGCATGAAGAAGTTGAATTTTTAGAAGAAGAATTTACTCAAGACTAATTAGTGATGTTGATGGAATTGAATCAGTATTAGACTTGTTATTTCCTAATGAAATATGTCAATTATTATGTGATATTACTAGTTGATAGAAACTATAGATTATATGGTTTTATTTTTTCATAAATAATTTACATAAAAGTTAAAAAAGTCAAATTCTTTATAATATGTAATAACGAAGGATTATCTATTTTATAAAAAAAAATGTACCAAAAACTTAACTAAATAAACGTTTATAATAATTTTCAATATATTTATTATTTCTGTCCTAACAGTCAAAAATGTAAAATATTTTTTTTATTACAAATTACAAAATTTTTTTTTCATCTTATAATAATTAATTTGTTTTAAATTAACAAGTGCAAAAAGCAAAATTAACTTAAGCAAATTGGCAAGCAAGTTCGAAAGCAAGCCATTTCCTCGGTAAAAAGCTCATCATATTCATCTATATAGATGCGAATGACCGGTAATTTACGGTAATTACGCTGACCGACGGCTTGACGGTAAATTTTACATTCAGAATTTTTTGACGTCAGAATACCGTCAGATACCGGTAATTTTACGTGGTAATTACCGAATTTTCTATTACCGGTAAATTCACATCTCTACTCGGAACAGATTATTCTGAAATTTGTAAATTTCTTAGTGCCTTAAGGTTCCCTTTTTGTAGTGCATCCCTGAAAATTATCATTTTTCGAACGATTTCCCTGTTACCTACTCAATTTCAGTTGATGTCAAGCTTCGGCCTTTTGCCGCACAACACGAGGGCGTAAAGTCAACTCCGGGAAACTTTCTGACTTCAGCCCAGCCTTAATGCCTGGTCCATCAAAAACTTTGATACCATCCGAGAAATTATCGATGGAGTAGTTTTTTTTTCAAATAGAGATTCAACATCTAAATTAATTCAGAAAGTTCATGATTAAATACTCTGTTAGATAGTCCTTAAACAATAGACTATCCCCACTAAAACATTTTTGAACCTTAATTTAAATAATAACAAGAAAATTTAAGTAATGATAATTATAATTTAATTACAAAAACAAAGAGCATTTAATCCTCGCTAATGAGTGGCTATATTTGCTTTCATAGTAGTTCTATAAAACATTTCTTTCAAAATAAAAGCGGCATGAAAAATTGAATGAAGGACCCGCATTTATGCCAGTGGAACTTTTTTCTAAGTTCTCAATCCCCCGAATGTGAGGCAAATCGGACTCAGATTGAGTGACCGTTTTTATAGCCACTCATTTGTAGAGAATTTAATTCTCTATTAAATAAAATATATTTTTTTTCGCAATTTTTTTTTTTTTTGTTCATAAAGAAAAAAGCAAAATTAAATTAATTCATGAGAACGAATTCGATTTTCTGCTTATAAGTGGCTTCATTTACTACAACAAATTTTCTCTTAATGCTTCTTTCTCAACATTGAAGTAGCATAAATAATGGAAGAAAAGACCTACACTCATCGAGTGATACTACTCGAAGTTACTTCTTCAACTTTTTTTATGCAATGTTGGCCAGTGCTATATCTGTTCTATGGCACTGTTTCCATCCAGCGCCACGTGGAGGCCATTGCTATGCTGGACAAAAAAATTTTGCGTGGTTATATACATCTTCGAGTACATTCTCCACGCATTTTGTTTGTGTCCGAAGACGTACAGCTGAAATAAAAAAGTCATGAGCTCTATCTGGATCTATTGAGTTTATGGGATACAGGTCACAGAGTGAATGTTACCGCATAACTAGGAAGTGAGCAAGTATAATGTCAGAAGGACTTTAGCCGTGTGTTATTTTGCGGATTTTCATGTTTTGACTGCCTGTGTCATTCGATTTCACACGTTTAGCGGAATTGGATTTCGCCCGATTAATCCATTTTAAATTATAAAAAATATGCATTCTCACGAAATGGTCTATTATGTAGTCACGGTGATTACAGCATTCCCCCTCGATTTCCCAAAATGAATTGTGATCTTCGCGAATTTTTTGTAAAATACGATCTTTTAATAATTTTGACAACCCGTGCAAGTGAATTAATTTCCGAAATTCAGTATCAAACGTATGATACATAGTAGCAGTGACTCGAAAGAAATCATCGGATGGTACATTTAAATGTCCAAAGTGTGAACCATCTAAAGTCTCATATGCTTTGTAGAATGTAAAATACTCATTTTCGTCATCTAATTTTTCCGCGTTTTTGGCTAACAGTATATCACATTGCGGACAATTATATTTTTTTGAACATTTATGGACAAGGTACCCTGCAACATATTTTATTGCATTCATGTGCAACGATGGTGTATCACAATCAATATCATCAACAGTGAAATCATGAAGAAGTTCGATTTCATTGCTTTCCGAATGGAAAGAGATATTGTTGATATCATAGTTTCCACTCGGAATCTGCTGATCAATTCTATTGTGATTTAGCTTCACGCTATGATCATCATCGTCCTGGCAATTGGAAGTTTTCGAAGGAGACATTAACCCTGACACAATGCTACATTGCAAATTCTGTCGAAATTGCATAGCTGAAGGATTCGGGTTATTGCCACCATGACGTCGAATGTACGCGAATAGATTTTCAATGCAGTCTTGATTTAAACGAGAAGTAAGCAAATAAGGTACATCTTCTGCAATTAAATCACCTGCCAAACCGAGAATACTGTGAATAGACAGTTGCAAACCGAAAACACAAGGGGGTAACTGTCGGGTCTTATCAGGATACTCCCATGACTTGATCCATGGGAGTATATCTTTCAGGAATTGATGGGCAATCTTTTGATATGCCTTTACTCAGCGGATTTTTATCTTTCACGCAACGAGCATTAAGGCAATCAAATAAATCATTCAATTTTTTACAGAAGTCCGAAGTAGCTAAGCATGACGGATCTTCCAAACTATTCGTGTTTTTACCAGCTTTTAGAGCAGCAGAAACAGTCGAGCTAAAAATTTGAGTAGCGAGTTTCACCTTCATTTTCTCCCAATTATTTGGCCAAACATGCTGTTTGGTCATCTTCGGGACTGAACGTGATCCTCGACTTTGCTCATATTTATAGAGCTCGATAATGGGGGTCCATGATACTCTTCCCTCTTTAGTGAAGATATCATTTTCCATCAACCTATTTCGAATAGATTTGATTAAATGGCACACATCATAATTAAAATAGATTTTGTGTCCAGAAATTTCAATGGAAGGGTTTATCTGGGTAACACCTAACAACGCCGTGGCTCGTTGATTAGAAGTTCCCTGATCGCAAACTAATGAGCGAACTGTGATTCCGCATTCAAGAAGTTTTTGAATACAGTTTATAATCAACTGCGTGAGGTCAGAACCTTTTACAGCTGTACTGGAAATGAAATAAGCTACAGGCAGCTTCCAGGGAAAACGTAAACCACGTATCATGAACACTAGGGCATACTTCCCTAGCTTACTGGCTCTGCGTAGGTCACCAAGATCTTGTAGACCTTCAACAACATCGATTTTTGGATTATAGTCCAACTGTTGTTTTATGCTCATTTCATCCCAAATAAGTACAGCATCGCGTTCTTCGGGGCACATGGTACTTACTTTCAACTTGAGTCGGTCAAACAACGAAGTGTTAAAACCAGTTGAAAGATCCATGTTGTTGATCCAGCTACGGATCGTATTGTTGCAGGGTAATGAGAAATTTTTTTTTTCACGCATAAAATTGTACGATTTTGGGGATACATAGTACAGAGACAGAGCAAACTGTCGCTCGTTTGAGTTCCGCGTGCTTTTGGATCTTTTCGAATTTTTAATAACAATTTGAGCTTCCGATAATTTCTTTCTTAATGACGCGATTTCAAGTTCCAACGATAAAATATGAGCGTCACAGCGCTCATGGATACTACTTCGCGTGATAAGACCAGAATTTGAATGCAAGGAACTTATAATGTCATCACTATTAGATGATGCACCCGCGATATTGTGATCACTTCCCAAGTTGACGTTGGACATTGAGTCAACATTTTGGATATCCCGATTATTCGATGTATTTAATTCATCGGAAGAAACAGTTAAATGGACAGTATTATTGGGGTGATGAGTAAGGGATTCATCAATAGATACATGAAATGAGCTTGATAGATTAGCGTTACCTGTGGAATCTTTAAGAGCAGCATTCAATCCATTCCAAAGCCCTTAAAAAAAGCAAAAGAAATCAATGAATATTATGAAGAAAGATAACGCGCAGTAATAGATGTAAAACGAGGAAGCAACGTTCACATAATAAGAAAAAATCAATGTCAAAAATAACACAAAAAATTAATCACACTTCTCATAGTAACGTATTGAACAGAAACTTAATTCTCTTCATAGCAAAAGACATTTAGTTAAATTAACAGCAGCTGTAAACCACAAAAACTTAAAACGAGTTTCGCGAGATTGCATACAGGTTGACTTATTCCTCATGTTACTTAGTCCCTCATGCTACTTTAACGTTCGAAAGTATGTTCCAAACAAAGTTATATCATAATTGGTATAACTCGTTAACTCAGGATTGAATTCTCATTGTTCTCATTAATTAAGTTGATTTTGCTTTTTTTTTTGTTATAAACAATAAAAAAAAATGCAAACAAAAATATAATTTATTTAATAGAGAATTCAATTCTCTATAAATGAGTGGCTATAAAAACGGTCACTCAATCTGAGTCCGATTTGCCTCACATTCGGGGGATTGAGAACTTAGAAAAAAGTTCCAGTGTCATAAGTGCGGGTCCTTCATTTAAATTTTTTATGCCACTTTCATATTAAAAAAAAAGCTATTTACTGGTTTTTTTTCAATTGGTATAGCTACTTGTTACCTGAAGATTAAATTCTCATTGTTTTTGTTATTTAAGTTTATTTTGCTTTTTTTTTCGTTATAAACAATGATTGCGAAATAAAAAAATATATTTTATTTTATAGAGAATTCAATTCTCTATAAATGAGTGGCTATAAAAACGGTCACTCAATCTGAGTCCGATTTGCCTCACATTCGGGGGATTGAGAACTTAGAAAAAAGTTCCAGTGTCATAGGTGCGGGTCCTTCATTTAAATTTTTATGCCCACTTT